GTTTGCAAAAAAAAAAAAAAAAGAGTATTATGCACACACTAAAAAATGGGAAACGTTGTCTCCACTTTTTTTGTTTCAAATAAAAAAACTGCCTTTTAGGTGTGCCTGGATATTCCTTTTCTATTACCTATCTCTACCATAGTGTGAATTTAAAAGGTCCCTGCCTCACATAAGAACAGCACTCAGTCCACCTTCAGCTGATCCAGTTTCAATAAGTAAAGGAGGCTTCTGGACAACATTTAATGCTGCACATTTGCCCGCCCACCCCTTACCATGCTCATAATTTCATTTATAGATAGACTCTCACCCACACCCACAAATCTCAATAATCAAATATAACAAATCAAATAATTGCAAATAAAATAATCAGCACACTCCTATACTCTTAACCCCCAACACTCACTCTTTACTTTCTCACCTCTGCCTGTTAGACCAGATTTCTACATCACTACATCTCCTCTCTGTGCCTCCCCTGGCCTACTTCCAAGTTTTTTTCTGGAAGTGCATACTCATCTGAGTAATGCTCTGTCTTGTCCTCCTCTTATTTTCCCTTTTATCCCTCAGTATCAAAATCTCTCCTTACACCTACTTCCCTCAACCTCCCAACAACCTCCACATTAACTCTCTCCCTCTATGCTGCACCCCCCCCCCTTCTTTCATCTAATGCTCTGCACTATTTTCTCTATTCTATTCATCCTTCTCCCACTCAATCTCCTTTAGACTCCATCCATATAAACCCCTCTCACACTTTCTGTCTCTATCTCTCCTCCTGCTTCGAGGAGTTGGTGATGTCTCTCCCAACCCAAGGCCTGTCATGTGCTCTTCTCACACTTAGTTAACCTGAAACCACACAAACCTCATCACATGCCATCTATCCCCATCTACCAATATTAGGTGTGTACTTTGCGTCAGACTTCCTCCTCTATAAATGTATGCTGCACTCCTACAGTCAAGATCCTTGAGCGAGTTGTGTATTCGAGATTGACAGACTTCCTTGAATCAACCTCTCTGCTTAACCTGCTTCAATCTGGATTCCGTGCTCATCACTCTGTTGAAACAGCTGTGACCAAAGTATACAATGATCCTATCACTGCTAAATCCCATGGCCACTACTCTATCCTAATTCTCTTCGACCTTTCTGCTGCTTTTGACACTGTTGATCATCAACAGCTTCTTCTCATCCTCCGTAATCTCGGTCTACAAAATATTGCTCTCTCCTGGTGCTCTTCCTACTTCTCACAGTGTTCATTCAGTGTGTTTCTTTCTCTGGCTCTGCCTTTTCTCCCCAATCCCTCTGTGTTGGTGTTCCCCAAGGGTCTGTCCTTGGTCCCCTATTCTCAGTCTACACTGTCTCCCTTGGTAAACTCATCAGCTCCTTCGGCTTTCAGTATCATTTCTGTGCAGATGACATGCAAATGTTCTGTCCTGCCCTGATTTCTCACCCACCCCTCTTGACTTGTGTCTCTGACTGCCTCTCTACTGTTTCCAACTGGATGGCTGCTCATTCCCTTAAAGTGAACCTGTCCAAAACAGAACTTCTGGTTTTCCCTACCTCAAATGTTGCTAATCCCTTGTCTGTGTCGCTCCAGGTCAATGGCACTACCATCCGCTCTACCTCTAAGGCTCACTGCCTAGGTCTTCTCTTCGACTCTGACCTTTCCTTCACCCCTCATGTCCAATCAATCGCCAAATACTGCCTCTTCCATCTCAAAAACATTGCGCGTAGTCGACCCTATTTAACACCTGATACGGCAAAGGTGCTTGTCCATGCTGCTGTCCTCTCTCACCTTGACTACTGTAATCCGCTTCTCCATACATGTTCCCAACTTGCCCGGTTACAGTCTATAATGAATGCGGCAGCAAGGCTCATCTTCCTGTCCGCCTGCACCTCCCACGCCTCCCCCCTTTGTCAATCCCTACATTGGCTTCCCGTAAAATATATGGCTCAAACTAAGATCCTGACACTTGCTTACAGATCTCTGCACAATGCTGCTCCCACCTACTTATCCTCACTAATACACAAATATGTCCCATCTAGGCCCCTATGCTCTACTGGAGACCTACGTCTAACCTCTGTACGTACTCCTACCTATGAGCTCACCTTAAAGACTTCTCTAAGGCTGCACTGTTCCTATGGAACGCCCTTCCCCTCTCTGTTAGACTCTCACCTAACCTCCACGCCTTCAAAAAATCTTTGAAAACTTACTTCTTTAGGAAAGCATATCAATTAAACTGTGAACAGTTTTCCCTCCCCGCACTCTGATTCCTCTCCTAAAACTGTCATCAAAATGAAACCCTTAATGAATACTTTCCTAGCAACCTACTTTTTTACCCTACCCTTTACCTTTTGTGTCACTATACCCCACTCCCTCTAGCATGCAAGCTCATTGAGCAGGGCCCTCAACCCCTCTGTTCCTGTGCGTCCAATTTGTCTGTTTACAAATACGTGTCTGTTAGTGCACTTATTGTACAGCGCTACGGAACTTGTTGGAGCTTTATAAATAATAATATTAATTTTCTTCCAAACACACCTCTAGTTGCAGTCTTCATGACAGCGACAAGAGGGTGTTTCCACTGTTATGACAGTTTTGTTTGGTTGTATGATATTTGATATCTTATGCATTTCATGAGGACATCTAGCATCATTAAATGCAGCCCATAGGAAAACATTGTATTCCATGGTTCCCTAACAGAAGCATTTGATTAGATGCGCGTGCAGCGCTTGCTGCGCATGCACCTAATGTCCTCATTGCTGCACTGTAAATAAGCATTGGATTCGCCAATAATTGAGGAATTGATACCTCGGGACGTCATCACAGGAGTAAATCTCAGCGCTAGAAAGAGACAAAGTTAAAATGTATTTTCCTTTTTTAATTTTTTTTTTTTCTGTGCTGAATCTAAATTGGGACTAGGACACTAGGAATACATTTCTTTCCTAACACTATAATGTTTCTTTAAGGATTGTATGGTGGAATATTATGCATTTGTATGTGCATATCCTATGCATTTGCAATTTAAATATCTCCCAGCAGATGTCATGTTTCACAAATTTACAAGCAACATATGCATTAACAGTTACATAACCATATACAAGTCGAGGCATAAGGGCACTCATCAAATGTGCTTACAAGATAAAGGGTTACTTTCTGTGTGGAAAATGTTATTCTCTTACACCTGTTCGCCTCCAAAGTAGATACTTTTTTTTCTATTTTTTTTTTTTATTTTAAAACGCATAGAATTTATAAAATATATTTAAAAAAGTTTTGCTTAGCTTTATTCCTCAGTTGTGCTCGTATCAGAAAAGACAGCATTTGCACGGATGAGGCTTCAGGGCCAAGGACCACTACATTCAGCTGTAGTGGTCTGGGGCCTATAGTATCCCTTTAAATTTCAGCTTTCACTTTGAAGTAATGAATAACCCTGTAAAAATGTAACCATTTACATGGGTTAACTACCTCCCTATTCAGCCCACTGGTGCTGCCCTTTAGGATCCTCATAATCTGTAGCCTTTCCATATGGTTGTGTATTTTACACAGTTACTGTGCTTTTGATACACTTTTATCTGTTTGTACGAAATTGCTCTACAAAGAAAGTTCTCAGACTTGCTAAATACCTGGTGTGTCCCTCTTATGCATGCTTCCATTGTTTCCTAACTTAACTCATTTACCCACCAACACACGTATCTATTTATTTTATTTTACATATATAAGTTGTTATTTTTTCCCCTCATTTGGGGGTTAAAAATAAGAGTCAGGGAGCATCTACATATTTTTAAATAAGATTTTGAAAGGAACAAGTTAACGTGATAGATTGCAGACCTAGTAATGTAACTTTGGAAGAAGTCACACATGAACTAAACAGTCTTAGTTTTCTTGAAACCGTGACTACATTTGAATCCCTAAGGTAAGTCTTTCATCCCTGCCCAGTGTAAGAAGTCTTTCAACACTGAAACTAATAAATATACATTGTATTCGTTATGAACACAATGCATCCGCAAAACCAAGCACAATTTATCAGATTTTATTGTTCTAATGTTTTAAAACCTTTTCACTGGTTTTGAAGTTTCTTCTCCTGGGTGCTGTGACTAGACATGTGTATATATTACAGAGATTGCTCTTGTGAGTAGTTTTGCTGTTTGTTAATTAGTTTTCTTGCAAACTTAACAGCACTTACATGAACCTTGTTCCCCAGGTCAGCTTCAATTAAATGACTTCTTTTCTGAGTGCTTTAGATTTTAATTGCCTTTTGACCAGATGCTGTTTGAATAACAATCCGTGCAGAACTCCATGCAAAGTGAATCTGTAATTTGTAGCACAAGAAACTCAAGTGTATCACAAATGCATATATAAATATTACAATTAGTTTGAGCTCTTCTGTAAAGAGGTTCTGTTGATGCGCCGGGATTTATGAAACCTAGGTTATCAAACTAGGTTATCTTGTATTTCTTTAGTGGCTTGTTTGCATACACAGATTATTGCTATACAACAGAAAATATACTAAAACAGATGTAAAATAACAATCAAAGCTGGATTAGTCTAATTAAAAGTTTTATAAAGTTTGTAAACTTGCCATTTGTGCCATTATACAACTGACATTGCGGTGAATGCTAGTGAAATATGTGTTTTATGTATGCTTGATAGATCCTGGTGATTTTTCTTAAATACTTGTGTTGAGTTTAAAATAAATTAGGAATTTGTAAAATATGTATGTGGTCAAACAAGCTATGAACCGAATTCTTTTCAGAAAGAAACCAAAGTGCATTTATTAAAGTATTGATTTCCTCATAAGGCTTTATCTAGTACCTCTGTTAAATTCTTGTTAGAGAAGGCAAAGAACATGTTCCGAGTTCTTTGAATAACATGGCTAACTGAATATATAGAGATGAATGCATCATTGTATTCTTTTGACAGCCTTGCATTCACATCTCACACTTATTATTTGCAGCAGATGTGAACCAGAACAATGGCACCTCGTCTAAGGGCACGGCGGTGACTGACTCCATGAGTACAGAAGAACCCCCGAATGCTGGGACGAATGCCAAGCCAGCTGACTCTGCCTCTCGCCCACACTTGGTCCGCCTATTTTCCCGAGATGCACCAGGAAGGGAGGACAACACCTTCAAAGATCGGCCCAGTGAGTCAGATGAGCTTCAAACCATCCAAGAAGACAGTGTATCAACTTCGGAAGACTCGGATTTGATGGCATCACAGAAACTGTCTCGTGGGCACGGATCAAAGCAAATGGCAACAGCAAGCACCTCAGACCACCACAGGCATGGCTATGGAGCCCATGGACGGCACAGGGACACAGGTCTTCTTGATTCACTGGGCAGGTTCTTTGGAGGTGAAAGACATGTTCCTAGGAAGGGATCAGGAAAGGTGAGATCTGAGGAATAGAAAGCAAACTAACAACATCAAAATTCAAAGGGAAGACGATGATGAAAATTATACTGGGTGGTGGATCTATGGAGATATTTTAAATCTTATCAACATTGAATCTTAATGCCTCACTCACTAAACAGAGGTCTCATAACTTCATCTCCTCTATAAATGCTTGATGTATTCCTACTGCTGTTTACGAATGATGTTTAGAATGTTTGTGTCACTGAGATTTAATTAGCTCTTTATAATTGATGCATATTTTCCCAAAGCAAGTCTGTAAAAAGAAGCCATTTTAGTAGGTTTGGCTCTGGCAACATTCTTCATATACTGGCTTTACTAAAGAATCTTGGATACGAATGTGATGTTACTAACCATAGGGACCTGCTTTGTATGTCATAAATCTTTGGCTTTGCTTATTCAGGATGCTTTTATTTGTCCAGAGTTGTGCAGTCTCTTAAATAATGATCAAGTTTTGGACAGTTTTTATTTAAACAAAACATTTTCTATTAATAATAATAATAATAATAAAGAGAAAAGAAAAATGAAGTAAAGTCCACAAACTGAACTGGCAGCCCTGATCTTGTTTTCAAAATTTGTAAAAGAACATTCTTTGCCATTTTTCTAAACTGGACAAATACTAAATCTTTGTTCAAATATCCACACATATTGGATTTGCTTAAATGTCGTCAAGACACACACAATTGTTAAGAGTTGCATGCATATTGTGTGCTTTGAAACTAATTGTGTTTTGTATATGATTCAGCATCATTAATAAGAATTAAAAAAAGTATAACTGTAGTTTGAGCAAAACTGTAACTTCTATAAAATTTGTGTGCCCTTAAATTTAAATAGGGACTGTATAAAAATGCATAGGATGTATTTGTGCAATCTGTTTTTAAATTGGATTTTTTTCAGCTGATCACTGAAATCACTTAATTCTGAAATTAAATATTTTCCCTATCTTTTTTCCACTGGTCAAATCTCAATTCAAGTTAAACCTACAATAACAGTTAATGGGATTTAATAAACATTACCAATTAAGTGGAATCATAATATCCCAATAAATGTCTGACAAGATACATATACTATTTTTTTCCCTTGACTTGTTTTATGGTACAATATAAACATTTAAGGGAAATGTATTTTTAAGCCTTGGGCAATAGAGTGAAGATGCCCCACATGTATATTGAACTGTATTTTTTCATGTTATTATTATTATTATTGCATGTACTGACTATATTGGTTCTTTGAAACTGGAAAACTGGTCTATATTATGGTGCTTAACACATTTCCAAATAGCATCCAAAGGGTGAGGGAGAAAGGGATTTGACCACAAGTTTCACACAACAGTATTCAAATTTGACCCAACATTTACCACATCATTATTCAATGACATTTGGTGTTTGCATTACTTACTTTGCATAATTAGCTGTTATAATTTGCTAAAACCCTGTGATATTTGTTGGACATTACCTACAGTAATGGAGGCAGAGAGACCTCTAGTCAGGTATCTCTATTTAAATTCAAATGAAAATTAATTTCCTAAAATGTGAAATGTTGTTGAGGCCCACCTGGCCATTATATCCAGTTTTACTGTGTATATTTCTACTAATGTCAAATTCTAATGGAAGACAGATTTGGATTTTAAATTCACTGCCATTTTCTGTCAAGTAAGTAAACTTCATTATATTCATAGAGATATTGTGGCAACCCATTAAATTAAACATCTCAATATCTGGCCAAAAGATGTTATTAAATTACAGTTGCCGTGATTCTCTGGTCGTCTTTTGTATTCAGAGACTTCTGGGACTTGTATACTGGGAGGGTGGGCTTTACATGTATACATGGTAAAATGGCTTTACCATGTATACGTGTTAACAATGTTTAACCCCATAAGGACACATGACATGTGTGACATGTCATGATTCCCTTTTATTCCAGAAGCTTGGTCCTTAAAGGGTTAAACTCTAACCAGTTTAGCATATATACGTGTTAATGTTTAAACTCTAACCAGTTTAGCATGTATACGTGCTAGAAATGTTTAAACTCTAACCAGTTGAATTCTAAAAGATTTGTTATAGAATTCCTTGGAGCCTTGCGTTAGAGAAGGGCTCATGCTTTTTTGAGCCCTAAAGATTACAGCCACAGTCTGAGTGTCACCCAGAAGAATTAGTAAAGATCATATGCCATGGCTCTAGGATGCTTCTGTGGAGAAAACTGCACGTAAATGTCCTGCTCTTGCACTAGTCATTACTGTAATTAACAATGGCAGTAGGATGCCAAATACATGCCTCTAATTAAAAGCTAATCTGTTTTCATTACACCTTCTTGACATTGGTTTCACAGCTCATTTTTTATCCAGAAAGTCCTTATAACTACAGAATAAACCACAGTAGCAAAACAAAACAGTGCAGCTATTGCATTCATTGCAACCTCATCTTTCTTCTCATCTAGGGCAAACATAGTTGTCCAAAATATAACTGACCTAGCCTGACGTAGGTTGGTTAGATCATTTTTGAAGGGGAAAAAAGATGATAGGATAAGTGTTATCTGATCAAAATTGTTATAGTGTTCCAGCTACAATCTCTGTTTTTAGGCAATGTCACTGTGTTTTAGTTAGATACATTTAGTATCTTGTCGGTTGATTGCTTGTCATGCACACTATGTGTATGTAAGGAATACAAAAAAGAAAAATTGCAGATAATTGTGTATGCAAGCTGCCTATCAGGAGTAGGCAACTCCAGGTGCTGTGGATTACATTTTTCTTAATGCTTTGCTAGCATTATGGCTGCAAGAGCATTATGTGAAATGTAGTCCACAGCATCTGGATTGCCAAAGGTTACCTACCTCTGGCCTAGACACTATTTAACCAAATAGCAAAATGCTTTTCAGTCACACTTTCCTCTTGTAAAACATATTTTGTTTTTGTTTAATATTGGTAACATTTTACATTTTGTATTACCCCCTACCCCTGTTTTCTACGTGCTCTGATTGGATGTTCTAGAAATATATGTATACATTTTGTAATATTTGATAACAACTTGCTCCTTGTTCCTTAAATGTTCAATCAAGGGGTGTTCCTCATGTTAGCAGGATAGTGTATGAAATTAGCAAATTATTGAAGATTAATTTTACCAAAGTTATTTTAAATAAATGTATCAATCTTTTTAATTTCCTTGTAATTTTATTAAGATCACTCTGTATATTGGTTTCTAGCTTAGTTTAAAAAGTGAATATAATTGGTTTCCCCCTTATGTAAGATTTAATCAGTACTAATTCTTCACTTCTCTGAAAGGCCAAAAAAAGATTTGGCACAATACAATTTCATTATGAGATCCCCAAGCCAATTATAAAGTGCAATGAAATTCTGACGTTGTCCTTTGCACAGAAGGTCAGAATGTCACTGACATTATTCTCCATCTAGATTACTTAGTAATTATCTTCCTCTTTGTTTCACTGTCATCTTTGCTTGTTTAGAAAAATGTTCAAGTTAAGGTTTCAGTACTGACATTTGGTAAAAGCTGTTAAACAATGGAAATATTTAGCGTCTGTAGATGTTTATATACAGACAAGTTATATGTGTCACTCTTCAATGTGCAAGCAATTTTCTATGTTGTGTTTTAATAAGGCGTTCAGTTGTGTTTTCAAACAGTGCTTTTTTTGTAATACAATAGTTTCAAAAGATGGTACGTTTTATACATTGCGCATACATGTCTGTGTTGTAGATGGTAGCTGAAAAGGAAGTCCACTAAGTTTCTTGAGCCTTAAAGTTGGACCAATTTTACAGTATTTTGCAGATAATCAGAACCTGGACTATAATTAGTGTTTATATTAATTTAAACTGGATAAACTGAGAGTCTTGTTTAATAAAATGTCTCCGCAATAGGTTGTGTTATCCCATTGTAATATCGATTCTGTTAAATCTTCATGCTTTTATATCATTAAACTGTTACATGCACGGTCGCTGTCAAATTATTTTAATCTAAAAAAAAAATTATATACATTTTATTGTTGAGAAAATGTATACTTTGAATTAAAATATTCTATGTTATGATTTGGATCTTAAATAAAGGAGGTTCATTTGCATACAATTCCTTATAAAATAGGAACATCACAATTGGCATGTAATAACTTTAAAACTATAATACATTTAAATTTACTTTTTAACACATTGAAATTTAGATTTTTAATGTAGCCTATATATAATCTTAAATGATCTATAAAATCCTGTAGATTGTAACAGGTCCACTTTAACTCTCAAGGTTTTCAGTCTACATGTGGATGAATTCAAGTTCCAGTTTAATAGCTCTCCATTGAAAACCCTGTTCTGAAAGTTCAGAATGAAAAAGTCTATTGAAAGGTGGTAGTAAGGAACAATATAATGGATGGGCATTTTGTTTAATATATGAATAGATGATAATATATACATATATATTAAAATGTTTTCCTTATTTGCTGGCATAATATTCATATTTAAGAGTATTGGAAAACCATAAACATACGCGGTATTTACTCAGGAAATCTAAGCCTGACCATTAGTATTGTAATTAACATATTTACTCTTTATGTATGATCTCAGGGCACTTAACTAAATTAACTTGTGAATTCAAGCAAGAGTCCATTTCTGTATACAAATACATAAACAATAGAATTTACCCAAGTGCCTCACTGGGATTATACCCAAAATGTAATACAAGGTCTAGATTTCACTTAAGTTACTGTTATATAGCTATGGTAGTGGTCTTTTTGTAGACTGTATCTGTGCAGTAATAAACACTCAATGGTTATCGAGTCCATATTTTTTCCTTAACTTAGGGTAATATGAATCCTAACAAAATGGTCTTAGGCAGGACAAGTTTACAGAGCCACCTCATTAAAATCAACATATTTATTGTAAAACCTAGCTGTAAACATAAAATCAGTTCTATCTGAGAATCATGCTGAATTGGGCAGTATATAATATAAATATGCACATGCATCAAATGATTTTCTTAAGTGGCATTTTGTGATTGGAATCACCACTCTAATATGATATGGGCTAAAGATTTTTGTTCAATCTTATCCAATCTTAATGCTTCAGCTAAAACATGAATATTTTAATATACTATATAAATTCTACCGCTGTTCATTTATTGTATTAGTATTTCATTTTGTTTCCATTTCACGGACTGTTTAACTCATCCCTTCATTGAATTTATTACTGCAAATGTAATATAATAGAGTACTTAATTATGGGATTGTGCTCATTACCACTCCTGTATCTTTACAGAATCTAATCAAATTTTATGTATGCAATATATTGTGCTGTATGATTTAACAAGATTGATTGTGTTTTGATCCTTGGCTTTGTATGCATTACTACAATAAAATGTTATTGTTTAACTCTGCAAGGATGTATGTACTAATTTATTGTATGCTTTCCGTTTTATGATTTGTACTACTGTGTTGGATTCCATATACTAAAGTACATTAATGATGCTAATACAAATACCAATCGTGAACACATTATTAGTCATCATAACAGAAACAAAGTGCAAACGTTTTTCATTGAGAATATGCTTTCACTTTAATAAATGTGGGTAAAGCACATATCAGTCTATAGGACTGTCTGCGGAAATATATTTTAATGTGACAGTTTATTTTAATGTGTAGTGGTAAAAGCTATACATGCTGCTTTTAAATAGACATAGTCTTAATGGATAGGAGTACAATACGATTAGTGGAAGCATCTGAGCTATAAATAAAAATATATATATTTTTATTTTTTTACAGGATATATATATATATATATATATATATATATATATATTGCAAGTTGTAATGTTAAACTTGTTTTTCCTTGCTGTAAACCTATTTGCTGATAGTGGGGGTTATGAATAGATTACTTTAGAACAGGGGTGGAGAACCTTTGGCCCTACAGATGTTACAGCCATAATGCTGGCAAAGCATCAAGGGAGATGTAGTTCCAAACATCTGGAGGGCCGAAGGTTCCCCACCCTTGCTTTAGAACATGCAATTCTTTTATATTTTCCAGAATAGACTAGAATATGGATAGGCAAGCTTTAGCACTCAAGATCTTCCATCATGATGCCAAAGCATGAGGGGGAGGTAGTCCACAACATCTGGATTACTGAAGGCTGCCGACCTATGGGTCTAGAATAATATATATATATTTTGAATGTGGATGTCCTATGCATTCTCTTGAAGTATGGAATTTTATGAAGACATATTTATCATTACCATGGAGGATAAAAAAATGGGAGACAAATAAATGAGGTATAATCTAAAAAAAACAACTGACATATATTGGTAAGTATTGGATTAGTGCTGAGGAAACACGTATGAATGTCACAATATAAGAAGCAACACATATGAGTATATATTTTTATTATTTTATTATTTATGTAGCGCTGTACAATATATAATACATAGATAATATAAAACATTAAAAATTGTATAATTGTTTTAAATGTACAAAAATTTCCTAATGGGAATTTCCTGGTGAGTGAAGTCTGCAAAGAATATAATAACTAAAATAAGAAACATGATTATTAGCATTACCTTTCTAAAGCTTCCTTTTGAAGTACATGATAAGTGATGGTCCCTGGAGATCAGATGTTACCATTGTAATTGTTTTCTTTCTCTGTGGGTCCAGAAACTTTCTAACAAAAATAAAACTGACATTTAATTTCTTTCTGTGAGGATATAGAAAGATTGTTTGCATCATGTGGCTCCATTCAAATGAGTACGATGGTTAAGGATGGACCCTTCATACTAGATGCAAATATATGCACGCCTTCTGCTGAATCCCTGCCAAGTGGCCACATATCACACACCAAGTGCACTTTTCACAATTTAATACAACCAGGACTCTTCATCATCTCTTACAATGCACTCATTCAAAACATGGTAAAACCCTTGAAATGTGAAGAACATATATTCAAAAATTCTAAAACGCGATTTAGCTTTTTTGATGATTGCAGACATATGAAAATGTAAATCCAAAAACCCTTATTGAGTACAATTAAAGTAAATGTAATTAATATGCATTAGTCTTTTGCTGTGTATCCTTCAACATGGCACCTTCTGAACCAGAATAAAGTTTATATACACATTCAGGTTCATACTATATTAAAGTGTAATCAAGATTATGCGTGTAAAATGAATGCAAAAAATATCAAAAAAGTTACAAAGTTTCCATTAAAGGACCACTATAGTGCCAAGAAAACAAACTCGTTTTCCTGGCACTATAGTGCCCTGAGGGTGCCCCCACTCCCGTGGAGCTGAGAGGGGGAGAAAGGAGTTAATCCCTTACCTTTTTTCCAGCGCCGGGCTCCCTCGGTGCTGGGACTCTCCTCCCTCTTCTTCCGTCATCGGCTGAATGCGCATGCATGGCAAGAGCCGCGGGCACATTCAGCCAGTCCATAGGAAAGCATTCTCAATGCTTTCCTATGGACGCTGGCGTCTTCTCACTGTGAAAATCACAGTGAGAAGCGCGGAAGCGCCTTTAGTGGCTGTCAATGAGACAGCCACTAGAGGCTGGATTAACCCATTTGTAAACCTAGCAGTTTCTCTGAAACTGCTATGTTTACAGCAGAAAGGGTTAATACTAGATGGACCTGGCACCCAGACCACTTCATTAAGCTCAAGTGGTCTGGGTGCCTATAGTGGTCCTTTAATGCATTATTTTTTTAAATTCTTTATTTTGTAGTGCAGAATATTTTCAAACAAGCCTGTGATGCCACATCAGAATTCCTTAATGCATTTTTTTAACTCAATTTCAGAGTGGAACTGCTTATTAACATTACTGTTTAATTTTTAGGCAGAGCTATGATTTGTACTTTGGCAGAAATAAAGGATGAAAATGTTGTTTTCATGCTGAAATACTGCACAGGCTAGGTCCTTGCACTAGAACTACTTCAGGAAGCTGAAGTCATCGTTGACCTTAGAGTGACCTACTAAAATTGTTTACTTATACATTGAATGAATGTGACATATTGTTGGCAGCAACCATCTTGGTTAGCATCAGAGCCATAAGCTGGGCGTTTCATGATTTTGTTTTTTCATGTAACTAATTGAGTATAATGATTTTCTAATTTATACATCACAATACAACTGGTTAGTTTAAAATATTTATGTTTAATGTCAAGATACAGTAAAACAGTATCTTTAACTTCTGCCTTTCAGATATATATGAAAGTCCTGTTAAATTGCCACTGTAGGCATTGTATCTGCTTCATCTCACTAAACTGTTTTTTAGTGTTTGGAATCCCCTAGTATCGTTATTTCATTCAGCATTAAACAGTTTTTAATGTTTTTATGTTTTAATGCTAAAAAAAATAGTCCCCAGGAACCCATCCTTTCTGTGCTGCTTTGGCTAATGAGGAAGTATTAACCTGAGCAGTAATGGGCAGCTGTAATTGAGAGTGTCAGCTGACTGCTCGTAGCCTATCAGAGCTTCAACTGACTGTATAAATGGGTATGACTACAAGGAAGTAAACAATCTTTGCCTTAGCCACACCTGCCTTAAGCTCCATGTAAATGGTGATATTGCTAAAAGTCTCTAGGCAAGTTTCTGTTTGTTTCACCACTGCTCTTCTGAGCCACATTGACAAAGTGGAATTTACACTTCCTGATCATCAATGGCAAATTTGGCTTAATTTAAGCATCATTAATATCCTTGCAAAACGTATCACGTCTGGTTATTCCTGAGCATCTCTTTCTTTTCTGCCAGTTTCTTACACTTTAAAAAAAAAAAATTCAAATGTTCTAATAATATATTTGTACACTACATTTGCTTAAAGGTTTTTCTGACTTTTACCTCCTTCCTTGAATTAATAACAAGTACATGAGATAAGACTAACATGGTTATTCAAGTGAATTTCAAATTTAAGTCAAAAATAGCTGAATTGGAAGTATTCAGTAAACCAGCTTTGCTTTTAGTCCTCTACTTTGACCTAAAATTTTTAATTCACTTTGAATAATAACTTTAGTTAATAATCCTGTCAGTAAAAAAATAAATAAAACTCTGTCAATGTTATTTACTAAAGTGAGAAATCAAAGTGAATTTCAAATGTGAATGATCAAAAGTAGTCAAACTAATTGCATAGCTCACTTTGTTCTTAAAATGTAAGATTTTCCTATGCTTATGTGACAGAAAATATAGATTATTATTATTATTATTTTTTGTAAATATCTTTGGCATATTTAAGAGGAAACACGTAGGTTTCAGGCATAATAGTGAGTAAAGTGGTTTCCGAGATGCACAGATCTCAAGTTTAGCCGCAAGTATGAGACACGCAGGTCTCGGTTTGGCATGACAACATGGTTTACAAGTGCAAACAAACACACAGGTTTCAGGCATAATAGTGAGTAAAGTGGTTTCCAAGATGCACAGATCTCTAGTTTAGTGGCAAGTGGGAGACACGCAGGTCTCAGTTTGGCATGACAACATGATTTACAAGTGCAAACTAACACACAGGTTTCAGACATGACAGTGAGTGAATCGGTTACCGAGATGTGCAGATCTCTACTTTAGCACCAATAGGAAACACGTAGGTCTCGGTTTAGGATGATACTATAGCTCACAAGTGCATTACAATAGAGCTTCCATGTCTATTACATATTGCGGGAACCCTGCGTTTGCTTCGTCTGACTTATGGAGCTATATGTTAACCTTATGCATGTCCAGTCAAGGTCTTGTGGTGTCGATGTAACCTAGCGTGGGGTAGCAGCCCCAATGTCTGGTCATAGATCTATGTCATAGATCTATGCATGTGTTGGTGGTCAGTGTGTTCATATGCTCCTGAGGTACACCCTAGCTCGTGCCGGGTATTGGACTGTGTCAGCCCTGGTACCATACCTCTAGATGCTATGTCCAAGTGACTCGGGGGTTTGATTGCGGTGTGTCCTTGTCATGTTTGTCACCTAGCTTTGATGATCTAATGTAGCAGGATGTCATCTTTCCATTGTGGGGGAATTTTGCCCTGAGTTTTGCTGCATGGGGGAAGGTAGTGGGTGAAGGGGTATTCCTTAGGGGGTGGGCTACTGTCAGGGAATGACATGGTCCGAACAGTCCTATGGTCCCACTGTCTATTAATCTCGTCAATAGTTGAGCCTGTTGGCAAACTCTGTTTTGGTGGTTTCAGTAGCCAGTGCAACCAGATTTCCCTGTATTCGTCTGAGGTGTAAGTTCCTCTATTGCCCTGAGTTCCTCCATCTGGGAGAACCAGATAGTCATGGGTGTGGTGACTGCTTTCAGAATTGTGGGAGCACTTGTTTGTCCACATTTAGGATTCTTATAGTTTGTGTCTTCTTGTATCAGGATCTGTTTTTTTTCTGAGTAAAAGCATTGGTTCTGGGTTGAGGAGGGGTGGTGTATCTGAGAACATCGTAAGTATGTCATGTATCCCTCTCCAGATGGCCTCACATTCCCACCAAAGGTGGAGCGTGGTGCAGACCTCCTTGTTGCATCTGCAGCAGAGGTTAGAGTGGTCAGGGTCTATGGTATTCAGTAGAATCGGCATACGGTACCAGTGTGTCAGCAGTTTGAACGCCATTTCTTGAGTCTTGCTGAAGACCGAGCAGGGATGCACTAAGTAGCACATCTTCTCCCAGTCCCAGTCTTACCTAAGGCAGTTTTCTATTTCCCCATGAACCTTGGCTTCTCTGTCAGTATTTCAGGATATTGCAGGATATAGCAGCGATATCCCATGCGGCTGCAGGTCTGGGTCCATGCACATGCGCTCAAAGGTGGTGGGGTGCCGTGGGAGGGTGCGAATGTAGCTCTGTCGTTGTCTGTAACTGAGGCTCTGGAGGAAGGTGGGGGATTTAGGTGTCTGACCACATTGCCACTCTGTATTCCACGCTGCGTACCAAGGTGAGGTGGTAATGTGAGGTAAAGAAGTAGTCTAGCCTGGTATATGTTTCATGTGGGTGTGAGAAGAAGGTGTACATTTCGTCGGGGTGGTGTGCTCTCCAGCAATCTATCAGTCTGAGTCGGGTCAAGAGGGCTTTAATGGAGTTTAGGTGTGGCATTGGGACTTGCGGAGTCCCATCGTGGGTCGAGCATCACATTGAAGTTGCCACCCATGATGAGGACCCCCTCAGCAAATGACTGTAGCTTTTGAAATGTGCACTTGAGAAATCTATATTGTCGGTGGTTTGGAGCGTAGATATTCGCGCAGGTATATGTCTGCCTTCCTAGTCCGTCTCTTGCCCCCCCCCCCCCAGGAATGGAATCCACTTGTTGATCAATATGGTTGTGCCCCTGTATGTTCCTGCCAGGTAGTCCCTATAGTAGCCCATTGGGAAGTGATGGTTGGTCATAGAAGGCCATGGGGTCCAACCATGTCATACTGATGGGTGGAAGTTGGAGTTCCTCAAGTAGGTCATCCAGGTCCTCTGAGTTTCGGACCATAAAGTGTCCCTTAGTGGTTTTGGCTTGAAATCTGGTAGGGAAATTCCATCTGTATCTGATCCTGTTGGCTTGCAGGGTCCTGGTGAGAGGTCTCATTGCCCTGCGGTAGGCCAGAGTTGCCTGTGATAGGTCCGGGTAAAGCTGTAAGTCCACTCCATTAAGCAGGACCTTCTCGGTGCGCCGTGCTTTGCGGAGGATGTCCTATTTCAGCTGGAGGCTGGCTAAGCAGCAAATGGCATCCCTTGGGGGAGCCCCTGGCGGGCCCCCAGGTCTCAGTGCCCGGTGCATCCTGATAAATTCGATGTGGGTGGCTGCGGGGCAGCCTGGGATCTTGTTAAACAGTTCCATTACGGTTTCCAGTATCAGTGTCGTCTGGTCCAGCTCGTCCGGGATCCCCCTCACCCTGATATTTTGTCTCCGTTCCCTGTTGTCTAGGTCCTCCATGTCGAGGGCCATTTGTCTCATTTGCTCCGCATGGCATTATTGTGCGTCTGTGTTGGCAGATTGTGCCGATGTTATGTGGTCACAGTCCGCTTCCAGTTGAGCCAATTTGATGTGAAGGCCCTGGATGTCCTCCCTGACGGAGTGTATTGGCTTCCTTCAGGTCCTGTTTGGTCAGTAGTGCTCAGATCAGTTACACCCAGTCTAGCTGGAGCCCCGGAGTGGAGAGAGTGTGACTAGGTACAGCATCCCGTTCACCTGTGTGGAGGCCTGTGATGCCAGTTCAGCGGGAGTTGTTGGTGTGTGGGGCCCAATGAGTTTTGCCCATGGTTGCTGAATTATATTGTGCTTTGGCGAGGATTTTTGCTGAGCCTGTGAGGGAGCACAAGGTTTACGCCTCCATCTTCCTCGGCCTCCAAGCCATGCCCTTGAAAAATATAGATTTTATTAAAGACAAGGTAATTTTAGCTCAGGAGGTTTGTATTATGCATGTTATAAACTAACATAAAATATATGATTAGAAACAATTACTGAAGACGCATGCATTTCGAGTTTGAAATAAAATATTTTAAAAGTTGAATCTGAGGACCAATCTTCAGCTTTGCGTATGTCAGTAAATAACCTCCAGCTTGAAAAACTTAGTTGACATATCTCTCCTGGAGGAGCAAGCTTTAAAAGCAAAGGGGTCAACACCTGCCGTAGACGTAGTTTATCTAGCTAGACTCTGAGTAGAGACAAGAAGAAAAGGTTTCCAAAAAGAAATAAGAAGTTGAGAAAAGACAAGATTTCTGAAATGTGAAGATGATGAAATCTAGATTCATGGTCCATTGCATGTGTGTATAAATAGAATGGATCTCTTGAGACATTATAAGAATGTCATCTAGGTAAATAATTAGTTTGACCCCTCTGCCGTGTAGTATAGAAACTACAGGTTTGAGCAACTGATACTTGCTTACAAATCTCTACACAATGCTGTTCTAAACTACTAATCCTCACTAATACACAAATATGTCCCATCTAGGCCCCTACGCTCTGCCAGAGACCTACATCTAACCTCTGTCAGCACTCCTACCTCTGATGCTCACCTTAAAGACTTCTCTAGGGCTGCACTGTTCCTATGGAACCCCCTTCCCCTCTCTGTTAGACTTTCACCTGATCTCCACTCCTTTAAAAAAATGTTTGAAAACTTACTTCTTTAGGAAAACATATCAATTAAACTGTGAACAGCCTTTTCTCCCCGCACCCTGATTCCGCTCCTGCAACTGTCAACAAAACAAAACACTAAGCCCTCAATGAACACTATCCTAGCAAACTACTTTTCTACCCTACCCTTACCCTTTGTGTTACATTACCCCACTCCCTCTAGCATGTAAGCTCATTAAGAAGGGCCCTCAATCCCTATGTTCCTGTGTGTCCGACTCGTCTGGTTACAAACACATGTCTGTTAGTCCACCCATTGTACAGCCCTACAGAACTTGTTGGAGCTTTATAAATAATAATAATGATAATATTCATTTACTTCCAAACATACCTTTAGTTGCAGTCTTCATGAGCTGAAGAAAGACCAAATGGCAAACAAGTAAATTGCCATATCCTGTTCCTCCATTTAAATTGGAGATAATGCTGGTATTATGGATGTATTGGGACTGAAAAATACACATCTTTCAGATCTATTTTTATCATCCAATCGTTGTAAATCAAGAGTTCTTGAAGGAAATGAATTCCTGTTTAAACAAGGTAGATTGATGACACACTGGTGTGTGACCTGAATCCTTTTTCTTTACCAGAAATAGATTGCTTATGAAACCTGGGAATGAGATAGGCACTTGTATCATAGTCTCTTTTGAAATAATCTGACACCTCCCGATGAACTAGAAGTTTGTCTACATTCACTAAACTTAGGCAAAGCTAATTGTGCTAACAGGCAAATGGCTCTTTGAATCCATCAACTCACAATATCAGATTCAAATGTAGAGGTTCCATCATTTTAGCTATAGGACCAGCGACGTCCAAAAGATTGTCCTGATAGGATTTCGTAGATCTGTAAATTACCTTATGAGGGTTCTTCCTAGATTTATCAAGACATTGTAATATGGTAGGATTCAATTCTGTGGTCTGTAAAACCTTTTTAGGAAGTATAGGTCTAGCGCACACTGTCCATAATTTCTGAGCTGCTATTTCTAGAGCTCCATACATTTCCATATTGGGGAAGTAGGGGTCCATTTGCAGGACTGAACATCCTGAACTGAACTTAATATAGTCTGGATGGAAAAAGGGATACCATTTTTAATCCAGAATGATTGATTCTGTAATGTCAGCATTAGAGCAATTATTAGACTCTTCGTATTCAAAGTTAGCATCCGAAGAAACAGACTTTTCCTCATCTGAATCCGAGTTTGTGGATAAAGTCACCTGAGGAGGTATGAAAAGACCCTTCCAAGCCTATTTGGGATCTTCTCGAGCAGAGGGTTTTAGAGAGAGATGTAATTATACACTGTAATTTTTTGGTAGTGGTACATATCGTTCTTATTTTTTAAATCTTACTCAGAAGGGTGACTTTTAGCATGCTTAGTGGAGTCAGTAATGTTTTTGAAGGAATGCTTCCTTTTCTGGGTGGAAAAAACTGCTCAGAAATTGCCACAGCCACAATATTTACAAAAGTCTCATAGCTGTAAAAATGGCATTAGATACCATTTTATTTACAATATTATCTAAAATAGTTTGAAAATGTTTCTCTGAAATAAAGTCACGAATAGAAAGGTCAGAAGCACGTGGTTTTGGTTCTTTTAAGCTAATGGCCACAGCAAAACCGTATGTAAATAAAGAAATTAAAACAATTTGGACAATTTCCAAATTCAAATAAGCTTACTAACCGGTTATGTGAAATAAACTGAGATAAACCATTTGCAAAATGCAAATAGAAACAATAGTGTACTTTCCTGAGGTAAACTGAGGAGAAAATGGGTATAGTCTGGATGGAATAACTAGCTGAAAACCAACTAGTGGCAAAATCTCACGCAAGGCGTGACATCACTCAGGATTTTGGAAGGAAAGAGAAGAGAAGATAATTGCCAAACACGATCGCGAATGAAATTCGTGCACGCCGAATTCAAAAGGTAACAAACAGGGCAACCGAATAGTAGTCTCTAAACAGCCTCAAACTATATATTGCAATAAAGTCTGATATTTGGGTGTGTGATTGGTTGTGAATGCACACAGATAAAATCTCCACACTATGTTAAGATGTGTATCAAAGCCACAGAAAATATACTTATCTGTTCCTGAAGGAGCGCAAAGAAAGCAGAAAATCAGTTGGTGGTCATCTCCTTCATAGACTGTATTTCATGTTGATTGATTACTCAATGTTCTACATTTGCATATCAAGTTTGATTGCCTTTTTGTTACACCAAACTTTGTTATTAAATATTTTGTTGCTCTAGTAGTAAGGAAGTAATTTAATGCATTATATTTATTTATTTATTTATAAAATATTTTACCAGGATGGATAAAATGAGATTTCTCTCATTTTCAAGTTTGTCCTGGGTCTTGGTCCACAAAACATTGCGTTGTTATAGGATAACCGCATACAATATTACAAAAATACAATATACAAACTATATATATATATACACACACATATATAAATGTAATACATAACAGGTAATACATATATTCAAACATGACAGGTGTATTCTGTGCTGAGGTATATTGCCATAGATCTCTTAAAAGATTTTAGATTGAATGAAGATTTGACTGGGTCCCTGAGGTTATTCCATAATGTGGTGCTCTGTAGGAAAAGGAGGATCGAGCCACTTTATGTTTGTATTGCGGTATTCTAAATATTGTGCTAGTACTGGATCGAAGGTTATAGGAGGTGGGAACACCCGGGAAGAGCATTCTACTCTGTGATAAAATTGAAATTAATTTTGAATTCTAATTTAGCAAATAACCCTATTGGTAAATAATAAAACTCTGTCAGGATAATTTACTAATGTTATAATTAAAAGTTAATTTCACATTTAAGACCAGAGTAGCCTACCTGAAATCATAGCTGACTTAGAGAATGTTCCTATTTATGACTATGGCTATTTTGAACTATACAATGTTAAGTGAGCATTGTGATTGGCAAGCTCACTTCCTGGTTTGGTGAGAGCTCTGAAGATTTGCAGCAAATGCAGGAACTTCAAAATGTGAGTACCTTTTTATGTTTGTTATGCATTCTTTATTATTTTTGCATATATTATGTCAACCTGATTGTACTTCAACCTGGAATAACCCTTAAACATTTGAAAATTGCAACTACAGATGTAGGAAATACATGGAAGCTAATTAAAAGTGCAGATTTGAAGGCATTGGAATTCCACTCTCCTCAATGAATGACAATTTTCCAATACATAAAGATCTTTACTTCTTCCCCAACCTGTGGTTGTGAAGGTAGGGCTCCTACATTTCTTTACTTCCATCCTTCTCTCAAGCACATGATAAACAAATACACTGTATGTGGTCATAACTCACCACTTCCAAGGACATTTCTTGGCATTGCAATTATAGTAGGAAAAAAAGCAAACGGAGGTAAAGAGTCATTCAGAATTCAGATGATGAGCTGTCACTTTGGATAGCTTTAATAAACTGTAACTATATTTCATCTTCAGATATGGGGACTTTGTTTATGTCGCTAGGCTTTATACCTGTTCACAGCATACTGAAACTAAATGCTCTCACATGCATTTCTTTCTCACACCCATGAGCTTCTTGTTCTGAACTCCCCATTTTTTTTATTCCCCTACCTTTTCTACACTATCTCCATCTCCCTAGTCCATCCTGCCTCCTGAAGTCTACCTTTTTTTTCAGCACTTTATCTAGCACCATTTTCTTCTTTAATGGTATTTCGCTTCGTCTCCCAGTTTCTAGATTTAATCTCTATTCATCGATCTTCCAACCTATTCACTGCTTGTCTGGTATTTGATCCTATTCTTACCTTATAGTATTTAATTTTCTATTCTTCCCTTTCGTCCATAGCATTTTGTCTGTCCCCCTCAACCTTACTTCATGTTATTCTCTGACCTCCAACCTTTCCTAAATATACTAGCCACTGTTTGCACTGTTTTTCACCATTATTTATACCCCTAAGTCTGGCTCTTTCTACCCTCATCACTGCCAGAGTTTTTTTTTCAATCTTTTTATATTGGACATATATACAGGTTGAAGTCCCGATGTTACAGATCTAGGAGCTTCACATAAAATATTTCCAATTTTCGTTCTGTATAACAAGAGAAGAATAATTCAAAACAAAATCTGCAGTACAGAACAAGGAAAGGAACATGGCAGTCACTGCCATAATTTTATCTTATCGCTTCAGGATTTTTTTTTTTTTACCCCATTTAGGTTTGCACTCTTCTTCTCCTCATAGAGCCTTTTACTAACACTTGTGTTTACTCTGTTTTAGTCCTATAACTATCCTGAGCAAAGATTAATAACAGTTCCTAATGGATGGGAAGGGGTCTCATAACGAAGGAACAACAAATCTGTGAGTGACTCATTATAGTTGTGATATATTCTTAATTTTTTTATTATCATTTATATAGTGCAACATATTCCATCTCGCTTTACAATTATAAAAGTAGGGATAATTAACAAGTAATTAACATATGGAATATAACAGAGACAAGAGGTGAGCAATGAGCTTACAATCTATGAGGATGGGGTAAGTACACACAAGAGAAATGACAGCATGCAAGAGAGAGTACTGATTGATGGATAAGATCTTCATCTTCTCATCTAGTCTTTGCTCCATCTTCCCTTATTTTCAGCCTTTAATTAAGCCTCTGATCAAGTCTTTCTTCATCCTCCTTACAACCTCTCCATCTGTTAATCCAGCACTGAATGATAGGAATTCCACATCCTTGGACTGTGTGACTTTGAGTGATTGTCTAAGGTGAATAACTGTATGCGACAGTGTGTACTTGACTGTGAGTGACTGTGAGCATATGACTTTGTGTATGTGACTGTGCATGTTTGTGACTGTGTGTCTTGGTATGCAGACCCAAGATGCCAAACAGACCCAGTTCCCATTGATCAAGACCCAGTTCCTCACTGATGAGCATTAGTCTCTAATATGACTTAATATGAAGCTCTGAAAAATACTCAATAAGAATAAAGGTGGAAATAGAGTATTTCTTGTGTGTAATCAGCAAAGGTGCAGATGCTCTTGCACACATATTGAAAATAATTGTTATATATAATAAACACAATATTGATCAATTATTGCAGATTCTAAAAATAAAGAATTAAATACACATCTCATTAAAAGTGCCTTGCACTATCAGTTTTTTTCATTAACATGTGAATTGCCATGAATTCAAAGTGAATTTCAAATTTTAGGACCCAATAAGTCAGTAGGAATCATTTTGCAAATCAGATTGTCAATTCAAAATTATGGTCTAAAATTAGATATTCAATTCGAATTTCTAACAGTTCACAACTTTAGTAAAAAGCCCTTATCTATCTCTTGTGGAGACACATGGCACAATGGTTGCTTCCTTGCAAACACTGGAGCTTCCTAGCAGTATTAATATTGGTGGCAAATTTCAATGTAGTTTTAGTCCTAGTCTTTTGACTAAAAAGCCGTTTTTGTTTTAGTCGTATTTTAGTCATCTGAATTGTTTTAGTTTTAGTCACCTATATCTCAAACATTTTAGTTGACTAAAATTTGACTACAATTGTTAGTCGACAAAATGAACACTGGTTCCTAGACCTGGTGGATGATAATGTCATATTCTCACCTGGAGCTAAGGTTAAGGAGATGCAAATGTATGTGATGGGACAATTTACAAATGTGGTTTGCGTTAGTAGACCAGGTGCTTACAGCTAAACTGTAGTAGAAAGAATCTGCATTTATAACTATTCAACATTTTTGTTGATGTGTAGGAATCAAGGGATAAAAAATTGCAGATACTAAACATGCACTAACTGAATTGCATTTAGGTATGAATATTCTTTGTTTTTATTTTTAAAGTCATATTATTGTATATTAAACTAGCTCAATGATCCGATGATCATATCTTGAATAATGTGACTACAATAAAAATCAAATAAAATAGTGTATTTTTATCTATCCAAGTATAGAACTATGTTTTAAAGATTTTGGCCTCTTTTCTGGGATATTCAAGAACACATGGCACTTACATCATTGAGATTGCTGCTTTATGCTCTATTGAAAGAACACCTGATTGCAGGTAGACCTGCCATTGTTAGCAGTCCCCAGTGATGATCCTTAGTTATATTCCTGCAGTGTGGTGTACGTGATGAACCAGAAATGCTGGTTAAAAAATAGCGTGCCTTTGATATCTTGTGGCCTCTTAAATTATACAGCACGCTGTGCCTTGTCCTTGCCTGATCCGTTCCTCTCAATTGCTTTAGGAGCAATTCCATTTGTGATCTATAGGGCTTTACTGACAGCTGCATGATGCAGTATGCAAAGAATAACCATTTGTGATTAGCGTTTGTAGGAAGAACAGTAGTCAGAATGTATATTGATGTTTTTTCTCAATAAAGTAAAGTGAACTCATGAATTGTTTATTATAAAAACATTGTGTTTAAATGCATGGATATATAATCTCTTTTACTACATCTGCTGTGCACTATGACTACCGTCACGTTCAGCCAGTCATTCACTGTGCTGCTGGAGTTGCAAAGACTGCTGGTGCCTGGCTTAAACCATTTAGAAATGTAATTGGAAGTGAGAATCAAATACAGTTCTCAGCATTGTTTGAATACAGAGCCATATGTTGGGGTTAGAGTCAACCCTGCTAGATGGTCATATTTAATGGGATGGTACAAAAATCTTCAATTGGTAATAATAATCCAATACAATGAGTAACCTTACATGAACACTATAGAGTCATGACCACAGAAATATTTTCTGACCCCATAGTTTTAAAAACACTATCTAGCCCCCCTTCGCCTTAAAAATTGTAAAATCATACCTTTATTACAGTCTGCTGGTGCTGACTCTGCCCATGATCTTCCTCCTTGGCTAATATTATCAGAAGTGATGATCTGAGCCAATAACAATGCTTTCCCATATGAAATCATTGTATTGGCTGAGATTGCCATGGAGGTGGGGCAGAGGGCGGATCCAAATGCCACCCTGGCCATTCAGCATTCTCCTCATAGTGATGCATTGAATCAATGCATCTCTATAAGCTAAGTTAAGTATCTCCATGCAGAGTATGGAGCTCCTAAATACCAGTGATGCACACTGTGCTACATTGCCCCAGGGAGCACCTTTAGTAGCCTTCTGAGGAGTGGCCACTGGACGTGTCCCTAGGCTTTAATGTAAACACTGCCTTTTCTCTGAAAAAAAACTGTATTTACTGCAAAAAGACTGTAAGGACTGACTATACTCATCAGATCAAGTACAATAAGCTCAAGTTGTTCTGGTGACTATAGTGTCCCTTTAAGGCAAAGTTTTGTAAGTCTGGTAGGTAATATTCCATAATAAATAAAGAGACAACACAAAAAAAGACAGTTTCATTTAATTGATGAGCTAGGCTGTGGTATTTATTTAAAACATTAGGGCGTTAACAGCTAAACATTAATTTAACATGACTTTAGAATCGCAATAACATTTAACATATTAACCCTTAACGTAACTTTATTAACTACTTCATAGCCAGTCAGTTATCAATTAACCTGACCACTTCTTAACACTGATTTAAAATGAAATCCATCCTCTGTTATGTTAACCCCATAGGTGACTTCACCCTGTACAACAACTGAACACCACAAACAGACAACACCAAAGTTGTCTCAAGTCTTTGTCATCAAATCACCTGGCTAGCCTAGGACCTCAGCAACAGTCTATGTCACTAATTCTGCCTAACTACAGGACTCACTCTGCCTAGCAACCCCAGCTGCCCTCTGAATCCTTCCTAGACCCTTAGAGATAACAAGACCCTATGGTTAACCCCTTCCTCTCCATTAGGCATATGTTGCCAAAGTGCCCAATGCCTGTGGAAATTCACAACAGTTACAAGAACAATTAACATGTGTACACTATAAATAGCTATTGATTATGAATAAATGAATTATGTTAAAAAAAAATTCATTCCTAATGGTACAGGTATTACATTTCATGGGCCTAGTGTTCTTACAATATAACTGTATATATTGCAGGATATTGTTTATTTGTTGTGTTTTTTTTTTTGTTTTTTTTTTAATAACCTAGAATAATTTCTTGTATACTCATAGTTTGACTTTATAGAGGTGTCTCTATAAAGGAAATGTACAAACTGATCTTAAGCAGGCCTTCACTGTTTACCATTGTTTTTCAAATGAAGACAAGGTAAGACTTGATACATTTACTGAGGAGGAAGGTTACAAAAATGTGGAACTATATGATACAAAATCTGCTTTTTCTTAATGCAACTATTTTAGTACCCCCTTTTGTGTAGGTACACACAGTAATAAAGCCCCCCTCATCCCAAAAAATATTTATATAAATATAATATGAATAAATAAATATGATAATTACATTTTTGGTGGTTTAGCATTTAAAAAAAAAAAATCAGCATTCACAATTGCTTTTAAATGAAGTTTAATTTTTGCAAAATTTTTGATTTTGTCCAGTTATTGTTACTTTGCTAATACAGGAAGATCCTCAGACAATTTCACTCTGGGGCTCAAACAGCAAAATATATCAATTAATATGTTTGGAAAACTTCCCTTCCCTAGTCATTGCACCATTTGTATTGCTTTCTTTTTACGTTTTTATTGATTTTAGACAACTTCCAATGCTTTGGATTGGTATAAATATTGAAAATATTCTTTATTAAGTCTGACAGTTGTAACAGGAATGTTATGGTTTGGTGGTGCAAATGGAGTCATGACCTTCAAAACTAATTTGTACTGGTAAATAGTTAAATGAACTCCTATTGCCCTATTTGCATTATCCCTAATCATTCATACACCTATATGCCCCTCCTCCTGTAAGTAATTCATCAATTCATTATGTCTTAATGGAAATATGTTGGCTCATCTGATAATTCTTCCATCTTTACAGAAGACATTTCGTTAGGAAATTTGTAAAAATCTCCATGGTTTGGCTGCTATTCTTCCATGCTTCTACGGTTATTCCATTACATACTTGCTTTATAAATTGACAACATTTTTCTAATTTTCACTATTTTTACTTCCCTCCTTGATTAACAGCTTACTGTATCTTTTCTTATAGGATGTGCATCATGTTTCCAGAGCTGGATATCTAACATCCTCCCCCCAGAGGTCCAGATCTGCTCACCATGCCCATGGTAGATACACTGATGATAACCCTGTTGTCCACTTCTTCAGGAATATCGTAAGTTTGCATTTGGCAATTAACTATTTATACAACAAGAAATGGTAACAGGGTTTTTCAAAGTGAATTCCAAGTTCATTTAAAATTTAAAATAGCTGAATTGGAAAAATTCTCTTAGTCAACTATGCTTCCAGCTTGCTACTTTGCCCTGGAATTTTCCTTTAAATTCACTCAGAATACTAACTTTAGTGAATAACACTGTAATACTTTTCAGCAAGTAGAACCTGGCCTTTGAATGAGATGCTTCAATCAGAGAGGATTTTATTTTTTTCTAAAAAAAATATCAATTTTACAATTTAATTAATTGAAAAATTATAGAATTAGTTAGTAGAAAAAGGTAACTTCTTTAGTAGTTATACTAATTAAACCTATCCACTTTCTTACAGGTGTCACCAAGGACACCACCTCCAGCTCAACCAAAGGTAAATAGTTTGCTAAAAAAATATTGTTTCTAAAACCTAATAATTATATTTATTACTAATTGGTTAACGAAAAGAACAAATTGAATCTTTATTTCACCGTGGAAATTATATTTATAAAGTAAACTTTGGATCCATCTAAGCCACATTATTTTATAACCTGTAATATGCTTAGCAGCAACAGGCCCCTTTAACAAGAAGCCTCTTTGAAGTATGGTCATCTGATTAGGATGAGGTCAAAGAATGTTACCCTAGTACCTTTAATCTTACATTTTTTGGGATGCTTAAATTTCAGCCATATGTTGATTTTGCTTAGCAGAATTTCGTTATTGAAAATCTGATTTGGGAGCAAAATCAGATGAACCAAAGTAGGTCAATCATTGTGTTGCAAAATATATACATAATACAAACTATTACGTATATATTTTTTAGTACACTGATAGGAGTATTTTGCTGCCATTGTGTTCATATACCAAGTCTGAAAAAGTAAGCAGCAGAGGAAAAAACAGGAGGAGCAGTAAAAAAATAAATAAATCTATATTTAAATAAAATATATATATATAAACAAATTACTGTCATGCATCAGCTGCATATCTCAAGTTGGTACATAGTTATACATTTATTAAATATAGATTTATTTATTATTCACTGCTCCTCCTTTTTCCCCTCTATTGCGCACTTCTCACTCGATCTGTGAATAAAATCAACATTTAGTGACTGTGAAGACTTGCCATCAGTCCTCTCTTTTTTTGTTGCCAGAGGAGGAATCCAGAATCACAAGCCACAAACCAATGAACATGCTTGGCCATTGTGCCTTTCGGCTAGTTTGTGATTAGAGAGTCTCCAAGTGTTATACTAAGTAATAATTAATATTAAGAATATTTCCAGGTTACTCATTGTTTGTCTTATGTTGGGCATCATTGAGAAAGCGACAGACAGTGATTTGTAAACAGGAGAGAAGGGACACATTTAGGGAAAATGTTAAAGAATCCCATGGAAATTTAGTCTGAGAGGCCAAGACTCACCCCAGGTAGTTTAAAGCCAGATTTTACAGGAATGGGCATAAATAGAACGAATGGCACTATAATAGCTCAAAGAACTTCCACGTCTACTGCCCATGAGGTATTAATGATATTGCCCCAAGCAAAATGGAACTTCCTGAAAGGGCCAGTACATGCATCAAAGCAGACTTGACTGCCTATATAGAAGATTTGGTTAAAGGGACAATATAGTCACCAGAAAAAAATACAGCTTAATTGTAGTTGTAATTGTAGTTGTTCTGGTGAGTATTATCATTCCCTGCAGACATATTCATGTAAACACTTGGTTACATTGCTCCCAAGGGATACCTCCTATAGTCACTCCTCGGATAGTCACTGGAGGTACTTCCAGGGGCAGTGTTGCAGTGTGTGCAGCACTACCGTTCTGCATCTACACTCTCTGCATGGAGATGTTGAATTTTACTCTTGGAGATTCATTGATTCAATGCATCTCTAAGAGGAGGTGCTGATTGGCCAAGCGGTGTTTGGCCCCGCACCCATCCCACCTCCTTCCAATTTTGGCCAACCCAATGCTTTCGTTAAGGGAAAGAATTTGATTAGCTAAAAATCTTAAATGTTGCTGATGTCAGCAAGGAAGCGGATCGGGGGTGTGGCCAGCACCTGCGGACCTGCATGGCTCTTCACATAAGGTAAGTTTTAATTCCTTTTATGGAGGCTAAGGGGACAAGCCACTTAAATAGTGGTTTTAACACTATAGGAACAAGAATACACGTTTGAGTTCCTGACCCTACAGTGTTCCTTTAAATTATATGGCTGTCAAGGTTGTGTGAGCACCATAAAGCAGCACCTAGTGGTTTATGCACTGTCATAGAAGCAGTAATGAAATGTCAGACATCCTAGGGTAGGTAGACGGGGTACTAAGTGTATTTAAAAAGTAATAAACAGGGATAAATACAACTGTCTGTACTTAGCTGTAGAAGAAGAGGTGGAGGTGAAGGCATCACATATATATTATCATGCATTTGATTAATATAAACATAACCGTAAGCTCTTGTTTGACATCTAGTAAACTGCGTAGATTAAGTGGGAAACTTCATGAAACTCACCAGATCTTTAACTAATATGGTATCTTACTTTTAACCCTCCACTGTTTGTTTTAAGGTTGTTTTAGATAATATTACATATTCTGCTAATCCCTTTAAGCAGAATCAAGATGAGAAGACGGGTTTGTAATGTTGTATATGTTGGCTCAATGTATATCACATTAATGCTGTATTCTGCTTGCACTTACTAGTCATGGTGATCATTGTGTTACTGTTTTTGTCTTTTCCATGTGCAGAGAGGATTATCCCTCACCAGATTTAGCTGGGTAGGTGATGAGTGCTTTTTTTCATTTTCAGTTCATCCTTTTTCTTCTCTACCAAGCTGCTGATGCTGCTGTCTAAATAGCATTTCCTTTTTAATCTTTTTTATTATCCAGTGTATTTTCACTTATATTTCACCTTTTTTTCTATTTCCTTTTATACCCACACAGTAATTAATTTTGCTTGCATATGTCATTTTATTGCTTTGGATGCACTCTGATCTTTGCATCCACAACATTTCAAATAGCCATGAGAGGATTTCGTTTTAATGGGAATGTGGATGGTGTGACATTAACAATGACTTTATTATTTATGGCCCATTGATAACTACTTATGTTTCTACATAAACCATTGTGGTTTACAACAATACCAAATCATTTGATTAACATCATTTTAAAAGGATCCTGTAGCCTTTAAAAATGATGACCCTATAGTTGAGAATTAATGTTGATCATGCATTCAAAATTGTGCGAAAAGAATTAACAAAAATTAGTAATATAAAAGTAATATGAACCTGCAGTTTGTACTTTGCTCTCTGCCTTTGAGCTGCTTCCTAAGCAATGGCAACTAAATAGTTGCCAGATTGTCTTTGCTCTCAATAAGGGAGTAGCACTGAGCATTCACACAAGTCATGCCCCACAGCTTTGGGAGGTATGAAATTGGGACAGTTTGGCAGGTCTTCAGGGGGCATCACCAATCATGCAAGTTGCATTACTAATGTCACCCACATTGAGGGATCTACCCTATAGTAGTCAGACATCAGCCTCCTGTGCTGACCCCCTAAATACAGAACAATGCAGAAAGCACTTTCTGCATGGTCCTGTGCTTGCCACACAGTGCGAGTTCCTCTAAAGATGCAGTTGTGGTGTAAAGCCCAGGAATGGTTTCCTTGTGTCTCTAAATATGGGACAGCAGGCAACTAAATTGGGGCAGTGAGTCAGGGGTGTCTCATCAAAACTGGCACAGTTGGGAGGTCAGCATACACACAATTGATGTCACACACGCTCAATCAGTTACAATTTCTACTGACTTCAGCAGTTCTTTTCTATGTAAGTACCGAAGCTGAGCAAAATTACATCGCACAATTATTAAAGCATCGTTTACATATTGCATTAACAATAGAGTGTAATTTTCATGCTCCAGTGACTCTAAAATGTGCTTCAATTTTAAAGTACTCTATTGTAACTTTTATTGTTGTAGAGCTCTGATATTCTGATAGACACGACATGTCCAAGCTCTTCGAAAAAAAGGAAACTAAGAACAGAGAGGCATAAAGCTTAGACTTTCATAGAAGGAATATTGGGGAGGAGGTATATGCTCTTTTGTCCAGAGGTATGCAGGATTATTCACTAAAGTGATTTTTGAGATAGTCAAACTAAAAACATGCTATATTGGCTATCCAATTTGGCTATTTAGGCAAAACATATATTTCAGTGGAAAGAGATCTGATCACCTTTCTGTCGCTGGAAGAGTAATTTATTGCTAATTCTATGACGTTCCATTTTTATCAGTAAAAGTAAGAAGTGCTGGCCTCCCACGCCACAATCCATAGAACAGTGACATGGTGACAACGTTTCCTTGCTTAGTGTGACAGAATCTTCTTCACAACTGTGATGGTAGCTTGTGAAACACATTTCTTTATGACTCCACTATGACACATTGTTTCTGCATGGCTCTTACGCAACTAAGCAGATGCCGTTTGCATGACTAAAACCTATTCTTGTTTCTGTGAAGCTCCCAGAAGACTCACATGTTTTTCTCTTATTTTTCTTAAGCTTGAATTATTTACGCTAAAAAAAATGTCATTTTGCTAAAATTGCTCATATTCTTTTTCCTCTGTGTGTAATAAAAGGGGAGGGTTCATTTCACAGAAGCTGGCCTCCTTTTCTACTGTTTGTTGTTTATGTTGTTTTACCTTTTATGTTTCTTTTACAAGAAAATCAATCATGCATGGTTTAATTTTAGTAGATTTAGTACATTTGTAGGAGATCATGTAAACATCTGTTGTGCACAGTGCCAACAACGATTAAATTGTATGTCATCATATGCTCACAATGCTATTTAAAAGGAATCTGTAAAAGGTTTGAGCAGTACTACACAGCTTTAACAATCTAGTTGCCAGAGGGCACAGTGCATTACAGTCATAGTGTATTCTATGTTTATCATGTTACAGATTTATAAAAGCCATATGTTCATTATCAAAATGTTCCATTTCCAAGAAAGTCATTTATATAAAAATTATGACAATCCAGAAAATGAACTGGATGACCTGCTACAAAAAAAAGTCTCAGTAAGACGTGCTAAAACACTGTGTGGTGTGTTTATAAAATACTGAATAGCATACGAATGTGGTCCAGTTCTTAAAATACAGCTGTTTTTTTTTTTGGTTTTTTTACCAATTTGGCTCTTCATGAAAGGCAAATTTGTTTATTTTAACAGAATTTACACTTCTATTCAGCTGCAGTTTTGTTGTATGTTGAAATCAACCATATCTCTATATAACATGGGAGACATGGCTATTCACAAACAGCCTACCTTTAACAAATTGACTTCATTTGATTGTCCCAGTTACCCTGATACATACCACAGGAATTGTACATAAAAGTCTCCATAATCCTTAATCACCCTTATGCTACTCCAAATCTTCCTTAACTATATGAGAACACAACAACTCTAAATCCCCGAAACACACACACAAAACAACAACCATGAAACTTCTTACTTTAGCATAATTTTTTTTCCTAGAAGAAAAATTTAGGTAGAATTCAGTTGCCGTTCGTTTGAGCTATTTTGAAATAAACCTCACTGAAGCAATAAGATCGATTTGAAAATATCAGGGATTCCCATGATTCAATTTGTTTAGCATTAGGTTGCGAATATGGCGAACGACAACTAAATCCTAACAACTAAATGCAGAATAATTGATCTGAATTAAATGAGAGCTCACGTATATGTTTATTTATGTGGCTAGAAATATGTAAAATAAAACAAACCTAATTTTACATTGATTGCCCGAGGAATCTGTAGATAGGAGTTGGCATTATTTTGTTTCTGTATTTGATTATTTGTTGAATACAGACTCATAAAATGGCAGAGTGAATCCTGTAACTGTTCATCTTTAAACTAGTGTTAGTGCCCTGAGTTTCTCTTTAAATTAAAGCCAATATAATAGAAAGTTGTGTTTACATTAAATTTGATACATGTACGAATCACATATTAAATGACCTCCATGGAGATATTAACAATCTGCTCCAGATAGGTTAGTTAATAATATACATTAACTTGTATTACATAATATCACATAGCACAACATGCGTTAAACATGATTACAATAGAACAAACTACAAATTCATCTGTATAGACAATTAATAAAATTAGCAATGAACTTGGTCCCAGCTGTTCCATCATAATAAATCATTCATTCACAATATGGCAAGATTCTGGGTCTTGCTGCTTTTATATATTAATTTTGACTGATCACAGATAATTTTAAAGAGATGCTGTTGAAAAATGTCTATACTAAGTGTCATCAGGCTAATAAAGTTATGTGGAATATATATGATACACCAAATCATCGGCAATATGTTCAGCTCTAGATACTAGCACTTCCTTCGGTGCTGGAGGTTATTATTCGCGGAAAGAGAAAAAGACATTTATCATACATTAGACGTCCATATGGCAATACACATTCTGAAATAAATTTAGCATAAACAACAACAACAAAAAAAACATAGACTTTAACTGATGTCTGTTATTAGTGGCAAAAAAGAGAGAACTTAGTTTTTCACTATGTCGTTATTATAATGTATGTGCAGATCGAAATAGCAGCCTGGTCTAGGCACCTATATTTATTTTCCGTGAAAATAATGTTATTTTAAAGTCACACTGCTGGCATTTTGGGAATCTGCATTTACCCAAAAGAAGAAGTATGAAAAAAGTAGGGAGGAGATTGTTTTGTATGCAATATCTACCTTTTTGAATGTTATTCATAAAAAAAACATGTATTTTGTATTGGATATTTTATTTTAATTTGTCCATGCCTGTTGGAAGAAAATTTGCTCGGTTAGGCTGACCTTTAAAAATTTTTTTTAAAATAAATGTATAGTAATCATGCAAATTTCTGCAAGGAGAAAATAGGTATTTCTGCCAATTTCTATCAGATTTACAGTACACCTGTGTCATTGTTCTCACATGTATTAAAATGTTATACTTTTCAGATTTAGAGCACTGAGAAAACTCAAAAATGCAAAGATTTACTCAACATTTATATCTGATAATTCACCTGTTTCACTAATGATTTCTATTTTTATTTTCATAGGTTGCTGCATTTAACTCTGTTATATTTACTGTTTGCAGGGCAAGGTGGTATTATTAGTGATTTTATTTTTTTGATATGTTTGTCATTTTGGTTTGTCATGTTTGTCAGTTTCAGTAAGTGCTTTGATTCCGGTAAATAACACAATTGCTTATGACCACCCTAAACTGTCTGCTTAATTCTATATAGGGAGGTGAAGGTCAGAGACCATGCTATGCCTCTGGCGCCAGGTATTTCGAGCACCACAAATCATCCCACAAGGGATACAAGGATGCGCATCGGGATGGCCAAGGAACCCTGTCCAGGATCTTTAAACTGGTAAAGAAATTACATATATACTAGAAAACAAAGATAATGGAATATTGTACTGATTAATAGACATTTAGCAAATACTTCAAGGTGCCATGCTTTATATTACAGTTCTGCCCACTGTGGCCTTTTTGCTGGACTGCAACTTCCATCATACTTGGTGGCTTTCAGGCTTTCCCAATGTAGACGTTACTAGAACAAGAGAACATCATTTCAATTTAAGCACTAGGACACTGAGGGAATGGGACACTGCATAAATACGAATTTTCAAAAAGTGAGAAGCTGGAGCACCTGACAGGGGCATGAGCCCCAAGTGACAACATATTTGGTGTTAATTATACACCACAGTGTGGAGGTGATGCTGTCACAATGTGATTTATAGAACATCAGAGCTTAGGGTTTGACTTGGGACACAGTATTGGGATGGTTTTATGAGGGGCTTAAGTCAATACCTGTGGGAGTGGTCATATAATTTACTCTTTGGTTCAAGCCCCTGGTTATTTTCCACCCAGCAGCACACCTGGGTAGAAGTGAAAATGCTGATTTAAATCATGTCTGGGCTGCCATTGAGACTGATAACCACACGAGGAGACTAGCACTGAGATTCCAAAATGGAAGTCTCATTTCCATGATTGTCTGTAAAAGAGCAGTGGTTAATACCAAGAGGCCAGCATATGCCTTTGGCTACAAAATATAGATATGTTTCTTGTAGCCACCCTACTGTCTTTATTGACTGCGCTCTACTCACCTTCAAAGAATACCAACCACCATTTAGAATTTACTATTTTGCAAACCTGCATAAAGGTGTGTTTTTCAATGAATTGCCATAGCTACTACACCAAGATACAAGAGAAAGTTTGCCCAGCTAATTTTCCCTGAGCAAGTTGTTCATAAGATTTTATTTACTAAACATAAAGTTGTAGTAAATTGAAAAATTTAGGCAAGTCTAGCTAGAGTTACAGCTTGGCTTTTTTAGCCTACATTTTGCAGTGTTAATTCACTATAAGTCACTGATTAGTGAATAAATATTTAGTCATTTTTTTTCAAACTTCTGGTCAGAAATGGTTTTATACGTGTTGGTTTATTCACTAAAATAAGAATGCAGTGTGAATTCAGAGTGAATTTCAAATTTAAAGTCACAGTAGCCAAATTGGAAAAAATCGTTTTCATTTTTCATTCGTTTTCCATTCTGCTACTCTAGCCTTAATAGGACACTATAGCCACCAGAACAACTACAGCTTAATGTAGTTGTTCTGGTGAGTGTAATCATTCCATGCAGGCATTTTAATGTAAATGCTGTCTTTTCAGAGAAAATGCAGTGTTTACAACACCTGTAGGGACATCTCTAGTGGCCACTTCTCAGATGGCCACAATAGGTGCTCCCTGGGGCACTGCTGCACAGTGTGCCGCACTGCCATTCACCGTTTCCATGGTTTTAACACTGTAGGGTCACAAATACATGTTTGTGTTTCTGACCCTATAGTGTTCCTTTAAATTTGAATTTTACTTTAAATTCATCTTGAATTCTCACTTTAGTAAATAACCCTGATACTGTTTTATGTCTAAATGTATTTAGCCCAGCACCTAGTCAAATTTATGTACAATGCTTGGTTATATTGGCACAAAATGTGTGCTTCTTTCCCTAGTCCGTAAAGAAAAAAGTAAACAAAACAAAAAATCCAACATCTATTCTTTCAAATAATTCCTTTTGAATCCCAGAAGCAAATTACTAAATACAGGAGCCGCAGGAGGAGGAAATTTTTAGAAGAACTAAGCAGAGGGTAGAATGTTTAAATGAAAAAGCAGTTCAGTTTACACAATACATTATTATGTTTAAATAAAATGCAAATAAGTAATATAAACACCCAGAATGCAATATTAGCTAATGAACTGCACACTTCAAATCAACAGGAGAAATCGAGAGATGAAACCTTTATAATATGGATTAAAGCAAAACACTTTCTGTGTTTCTATGCCAATTATTTATTTACAACAAAAATCAGAACTCAAGTTATTGCATAAAATCACTGCGGGAAGCCTCTACAATCTTTCTGTCTTCTGTTCTCTAGAGAGCTGGCAACAAGAAATGAGTTTTCTGAGTTGACGTGATTAGGATTAAGTGGAAAAAAAGTCAGCAGGGTAGTCAGTTACAGTCGCCCTAAAACTAGTCAGCGTTGTGGATAATTCACCTGCCGAGCTGGAAATCAAGAAAATGTTTCCACCACAAAGTTAATCTTTTTTTAAGATTAATTTTGTGCAATGTCCTTTAAGTAATCTCCAATATTTAAATAGCATAACTGAAGCACATGTTTGTTTTCTTTTTTCTTTCGTTTGCGCCACAAATCTAGCCGGCCTGTCTTCCAAATTTAGCAATTTTTAATCTATTTGTGATTTTTGTTGAAGACATGCTGTGACAATGATGGCTTTTATTCCTTTTATATTGTAATGTCACATTACTACAAGTTAGTATTTATACCTGCTGTTATTATCTAGAATTGTGTGTTACTCCATCCTACGTAAAAATCCTGACGAATAATACTGATGTAACTGGTTTATAAGTTAGGATAGAAATAAAAAAATAAAAATCTTAGCAAATCCGTTGTTACCTGCCTATATGACTGGGGGAAAAATATGAATAATTAAGTGGGGGGGGGAAAAATCATATTTCATCAGAAAAAAATTTGTATAGAGTTTGTGTGGGATTAGAAATATAAGTATTGTAATGCAACTGACTCAAATGCCTTAAACATATATAATTTAGCTGTATGAAAAAAATGCAAGCCTTATGGTGAATGCATTACCTGTATATGATTAATATAATTATATCCCGTTGGATAAAAATGTAAAGAAATAGTAATTTTAGTTCTTAAAATATAAGTTCACTATTTCAATGGAATGGTTACTCTTTAGGAGCCACATTTCTTTGCCAATGAAACTCTACTGTCCATCGTTCGAGAAGCTCAGTACATCTGCTGTGTGTGCTGCAGAGCTCTCCAGTCAAACAATTTACATGTGTTTATTTTATGTAATATGACCAGGGACATCACTAAGCTTAGGTTTGCACAATGGAGGGGTGGCAGCATTTTAAATTATAAAAATAACGTACTTATTTTAGAATTGCATTAAATTATTGCTGCTGTCCTGCGCCGCTAACTCACTTGAACCTGGTTTAAATGCTACAGAGGAGTTACTAGAACTAGATTTACGATCGGGTAAAGAGCTTCCTGCTTCTTTTCAGCTGAAAGGACCACTATAGTGCCAGGAAAGCCTCCTCTCCTCCCCTTAGTGCTGGTGAGGTAGGGTGAAAAAGAAAGTTTACAACTCTTCCCGTGTCTGTGTGTTTAAATACTGCACTGCACGTGTCTATTTAAATAAAATATTATAAATAGATCATTATGTCACATGCAAATTCTCATTAAAGGTGCACTATAGTATTAGGAATACAAAACTGTATTCCGCGCATTCAGCCGGTCACATAAGAAAGCATTCATAATGCTTTCCTATGGATGCTGGCAAGCTCTCACTGTGATTTTCCAGTGAGAATCATGCAAGCACATCTAGCGGCTGTCAATGAGACAGCTGCTAGAGGAAATAGGGGAAGGCTTAACCCATTCATAAACATAGCATAAACATTCTCTGAAACTGCTATGTTTTTGAAAAAATGGGTTAACCCTAGCTGGACCTGGCACCCAGACCACTTCATTAAGCTGAAGTGGTCTGGGTGCCTACAGTGGTCCTTTAAACACCAAAGAGACCTTGGCTTCAGCCGCCTCTCCTCCCCTTAGTGCTGGCAGAGGTAGGGTGAAAAAGAAAGTTTACAACTCTTCTATGTGTGTTTAAATACTGCACTGCACATGTCTATTTAAATAAAATATTATAAATAGATCATTATGTCACATGCAAATTCTCATTAAAGGTGCACTATAGTATTAGGAATACAAAACTGTATTCCAAACAATATAGTGTCCTTCTGCCTCTGTGCCTTGCTCAGTAACGAGTAAGTCTTTGACTTACCTGATTCCAGCCCCAAGATCGCTTGGCGTTGGATAAGGCTCCTCCTTCTGCGATGTCATAGCTAAGGGGGTACATAATGTGCATGTGCAGCTAGACAATGAATTAGACATTTCCCATATAGCTTTGAATCATTGCTTTCTTGTGGGGATTTTTAAGATGCTAGATGTCTTCATGCAAAGCATTCATACTCAGGGGCGTATTAGCCGCGAGGCAAACAAGGCATTTGCCTTGGGCGGCACTTTCCAGGGGGCAGCAAAAAAAGCCGCCCCCAAATGCCCAGGGCAAATGTCTTGTTAGCCTTGCGGCTAACTGACAAGCCAGGCGGGCGCGCGAGGGAGCACTTTACCCTGAGCTGTCTGTTCAGCTCCCTCACGCGCCGCAGAGTGATGCCGGGAGCTGGAATATGACTTCATATTCCGGCTCCCGGCATCACTCTGCGGCGCGCAAGGGAGCTGAGCACAAAGCTCAAAAATCAGTGCTCCCTCGCCAGCGCCGCCCGCCCAGCAGCCACTGGACCCCAAGGAAAGGGAGAACCCCCCAGCACTCCCAAAGGTAAGGAGTGAGTGTGTTAATGTGAGTGAGTGTGTGTGTCTGTTAGTGTGTGTCAGTGTGTCTGTGTGTGTGTGTGTCTGTTAGTGAGTGAGTGTGTGTCTTTGTGTGTGTTTGGGTCTGTTAGTGTGTGTGTGTCAGTGAGTGAGTGTGTGTTTGTGTGTCTGTTAGTGTGTGTATGTGTCTGTTAGTGTGTGTGTGTCTGTTAGTGTGTGTGTCTGTTAGTGAGTGACTGTGTGTCTGTAAGTGAGTGTGTGTGTGTCTGTTAGTGAGTGTGTATGTCTGTTAGCTAGTGTATGCGTATCTGTCAGTGAAGGTGTGTGTGTGTCTGTAAGTGAGTGTGTGTCTGTTAGTGTGAGTGAGTGTGTGTGTCTGTTAGTGAGTGTGTATGTCTGTTAGCTAGTATATGCGTATCTGTCAGTGAAGGTGTGTGTGTGTGTCTGTGTATTTAGAAAGCGGGGTAGGGGGGAAGGGTGGGGTGGCGGGGGGAGGGGGTCTGAGTTTTGTCCTGCCTAGGGAAGCACAAAACCAGGATACACCACTGTTCATACTCTGCTACTCAGTCACACAACTTTGTTTATGTTTGAGGACATGGATTTCCTCAGGATTTTTTCCAGATGAAGGTAAAAGATTATCCCTCCTTTTCCCTTCTCCTTTCCCAATTCCTCTTATATCTTCTCAAATATATTTTATTAAAGAGATATGTTTACAATACCTTTTACAATGAAAAAGAAAATACCATAAATGTTATATATAAAAAAGAGTAAATATCAATGTATCCAGTCCATATGTAAATCGATTATGAAAGTATTGAACAGGCACTGTATAGTCAATTTTCATTGTGATAACTTATTGGTATGAATGAACTATGCAATTAAATTGCAATGTTAATAAGTAAAACAAAAAAAAATTAAATTGGGAGGGGTGACAAAGAAAGAAGAAAAAAAAGGAGAAGAGGGGAAAGGGAGTGCATCCATCCAGAATAGCTTTTTTCAACTTAAATTCTAATGACTATAACCAATTCTAGTATACATAACATGACACAACAATACTTAGTTCAGATAATTGCGTAATAGAATAAAAAAATGTTGTTGTCAAACTATTTTCCAAATACACTTCTTTATGCAAGCAATCAAAACCTATATTCTATTTTAATTTGTTTCCCATTCATCCCAGTAGTGTCTAAGGTTATCTAACTGCAAAGAGCCAGTTCATAACCCCTATTTTTTAGTATATAATTAAAAATGTCTTTAATAGTAGGGATTGTTGGTGACCTCCTGTATCTGGGGATGACTGTAGTAGCAGCTAAAAGGATATGTACAATTATAATTTTATCAATTCTTTTCAATAGTATCAGGGAAGAATTTGCATAAAGCCAATTCTGAAGTGAGTACAGGAATATTAGAATTTTATTTTTGGATTAATTTATGTATTTTCTGCCAAAATTGTGTGAGTTTAGGACAATACCAAAAAACATGTGAAAGCGAGCTAATCATTCCACAGTTTCTCCAACATTTATCTGAATATCTGGAGTTCATTTTATTCGACCTATAGGGGGGAAAATATCATCTATAAATTATTTTGAAATGGTTTTCCCAATGATTGGAGCACTGTGTAATTCCTTTAAGAGCTGGTAGTTCTTATTTCTATATTAATATATTGTCCTTATTATGTTGCAGTGAATAATAACTCGTAATATTGAATATAGGCCTATTACTTCATTAGTCAACATTTAAAAATTTAAATTTAGTCAATACGCTGTTAAATGTGTAGTGGTAGTCCCCAACTCAAATGTGATTTGGGAATGTGGTCCTCTGGTGTAAAAACATTGGGAACCACTGCTTTAGAGGAGTTATTGATTATTTGTTAAGTTTACATTTTAGATTACAACAGAGTAATTGATGATGGGGACATGCTGAATATCATTGTTAAATTACAGTTGTGTTCAGATTTTCTTTAACATCAGCATTAGAACGTAATGTCCCTAAGGTTGTTGTGGCTGTTCTGTTGTGTCTATTGATTGAACTAAGTAGATTACACGTTGCTGATCAATACATTGTTCTAGTTATCCACTGCATGCATCATCATCTGTTCCTGGGTGAAAGCTTTCAATAGTCTAATGCCTAATCATTTGTGATTGTTCAATTAAAGGGGAACCATCAATTTCCAGGATTTTTAACAATATATCTTTTTATCTTCTATATTTAACAAGTATATGTTTTAAGAACTGAATTTTTTTAAATTTTTTTTATTCAATGTGGAAATACACACACCGGTTATTTAGTTCTTTCTTGAAATTGAGTGGCTCCATCTTGGCTCCATGACTTTTTTTTGTAAGAAAAAGAACAAAAAAAAAACCCCAGTATTTGAGAGAAGGAGAGAAACAGACAACCAGGAGTTGTTTGTTCATGGTAGTTTTGCCCAGGACATGTATTGGAACTTCCAAAATTAATCAATGCACTGAAACACCTAGTACTCCTGGGCAGCCGTAATGACCATAGTGCTCATCACCCTAAATACATACAATAAAGCCCCCCCAAAAATGACCTGTGCACTATTCAAATTCCCTATGCAAATTTAAATAATTTGAGGCTTTTATTTAATATCAGTAAATGGCCATTAAAGTGTAAGCTCACCTGCCACATTAAGGCAAAACCTCATAGGGGAGTTTATTTAAAGGAACACTCTACAAATAAAATATGTAATGGTTCATATTTGTGTAATACATATTTGTGCCAGGGAAGAGGAGAGTCGAGGGCTTGCAGTAGTTGCAATTACTATATTTTCATATACCCCACATGCAAAATGAATTACACAAATATGTACTAAACTGCTGCTTATGTTATTTATGGAGTGTAAGCAGAGCTGCAGTAATGAGTTCACAAACACGTTGCCCTGTCAAAACAGATCACACTGAGCCAATAACAGTGACCTATAGAGGTTTAAACACACAATGCAGTTTGCCTTTGATTTTTCATTGAAAAGTATAAATTTGAACGTCATTTATTGACAGAGAAAATTATTACTAGGTATCTAAATGCTGTGTGCATGTGAAATGTTTTATCTATACACTGGGGTTTGCTTTGAATATCTAATCATTGCAGATGGTGTATAGTTGTGTAGTGCACCTGTGCCAAGTTCTGTACTTGGCATTGTAATTAAAGTCAGCTTGTTCAATGGAATCTGGTGTGCTTAAATCCCATTTGTTAAGTATGGAAGTAACTCACAGGCAAACCAGCTTTTAGGCATTGTAAATCAGAAAAGGGACATTTTGAAAGCAGATGTAAAAAATGCTTTGACAGTTCACAAGAATCCATTGCTTAATGTGAAATGAAAGAACTAAACTGTATTAAATATGCAATAGCAAACTGAATTCTGTTACAAAGAAATATGTGACTTCACCGGGTTTTAATGTGTTTATTTTTTTAATTAACCTTATATATGCTTCATATATATATATATACTATTTATTTTTTATTATTATTATTACATTTTCTTTCTTCTTTTTTTTTTCTGGTCACTGATACTTTGGGGTCATAGCCCATACTTTTGTTTAAAACAGTGTCCATTGTTGAGAAATGCAGGATGACGTGTAAAACACAATGCCTGTCTGTGCTCATTTGCATATCAAGCTGGGGACTCACGGATAGTTGTGGAAACATTATTTCTCGAGTTTCTTTTCTCAAGAAGGACTTTCAAGTGTGTGTGTGTGTGTGTGTATCTTATCCTATGGTATTCGGGGAACTTCTAAATAGACTGTCTATAAATCCCATAACTTTGTAACAATTTAGATATGCACTGAGATGTTTTCAATCTGCTCTTTATGAAAACTCCCACTTTAAGGTAAGGCTATATTACACTAATTGGAAAAAGGCAATGGTATAATTAAATTAGTGAGAGTACAAAGATGCCATCTGCAGAATACCTGGCCTTCAAGATGTAACTAGAAAACCATATAAAAGCACAGGGATTTTCCAGATATAAAATTGACGCTGTGTCAATAAGTAAGGTTAGAGGCAAGTTCCATGATGCTTTGTCATTCTAAAGACATGCAAAGCATTTGGGGATCTACATTTTGTGTACCCCTGCTCTACATAATATTGTGTTTGCACATATACAGCAGTTCGAGGGTGCCTGTCTTCTTTTAATGCATTTGGAAAAGTGTATTAAAAATGGAGAGAGAGTGACATAACCATAACTCTATTCTGAAATAATAACACTTCCACGGGGTCCTGGAGACATAATAATAAACTATTACTCTGAGTGGTTTGTGGATGTCTGCAGAAACAATTTCCTTGAAACATGCATTATCTTGTGTATCTTTTATATTATGTTTTTGTTTATTTAAAAAAAAATGGAGCACATAAAGGCATTCACACAGATACGCACTTATTGGGGCTACCTTGCAGGCTGTCTGGCTCTGTTGCCATCAATCATTCTGTCCCTCTTTCCTGGGGAGATTGAGATTTTACATTTTAAATTATTGTTACCCAATATTGCTCTGTGTGATGATACACAGCATGAAGGGAATTGGGAACACGATCTGCCCACTAAAATAGGTAAATCATGCAATGTATTTATAATATATAGAAAAGCCTTTCATTTCATGTGGGAGGTTATAAATTTCAGTCAAAACAAGCCATTGACATCAATATAAAAGATGATCTGTAGACGGCATCTTGCATCTTTTGTTATCCTAGCAACATCTTGTTCTATATGTCCCTGTCACAGCACAGGCTCTGAATGGAAAATATGACATAAAGTATTGAAGAACGTAGGAGAGAACGGTCTGCTATTATGATAATTATACTTTTCTAGCCATAACTTAAATTCTTCTGCATCAGAATATAATCATGTCTATTAAATGCAAAGTAAGTGATTGCAGCAAAAATCTGTTAAACCAATCCATTTATCAAAATTTGAAACTATATATATAAAAATATATAAATAAATGTATATATGAGACAGACTCAGCAGAACAGAAAATTGCCAACTTTCTCTATTAGAATGTTCATATTTTTTTGTCTTACAGGGTTTTCACTAAAATGGGAATAGCTGGTAATTCAGTGAATTTCAAATTTAAAGTCAAAATAGCAGAACTGAACACAGATACATTTTTTCCAAGTTTACTATTTTGACCTAAATTGTGAAATTCACTTTGAATTTACTTAGATTAATGGCAATCATCACTTTAGTGAATAACACTGTTAGTAGAAATATGATCCACTGTCACCATAACACTTTAAATAGAAATGCAATTGTATATGTCCAGTAAATTGTATTGATGCACAAAGTGATATTTATTGCACTTCAGACAAATAAAGCTTTTAGGTTTTGAAATAAAAAATGCCTCCACCATGATGTAATTATGTATGACATCTGTAAACTGAGAGTCCTAAAGTAAGCTAATCATGCCATTTAGGACTGTCAGTTTACAGTCACTATTGTCAACAAAACAACATTAGCTTAATGAAGCAGTTTTGATGTGTAGATCATAGCACTGCAGTCTCACTGCTCAATTCTCTGCCATTTAGAAGTTAAATCACTTTGTTTATGCATCTTTGGGCACACCTTCCTGAATGTGACTTACACAGCCTTCCTAAACACTTCCTGTAAAGAGTCATCTAATGTTTACACTTCCTTTATTGCAAATACTGTTTAATTTAAAATTGCTTATCTTCTGCTCTGTTAATAGCTTGCTAGTCCCTGCAGAAGCCTCCTGTATGTATTTAACGTTCAATGTACAGAACAGGAGATAAAAACTTTTAAAGTAAGTCACATCTAATTGAAATTGACACTATTTTGTTTTCATGCAGACAGTGTCAGTCACATACACTAGAGCTGGCTAGGGCTGCATAAACAAAAGTGATTATACTCATAAATGGCAGTAAATAGAGCAGTGAAACTTCTGAGGCATGACTTATACACACAAACTGCTTTATTGAGCTAAACTTGTTTTGGTGACTATAGTGTTTTGTTACCCTGTTAATGTATGTATCCTGTCCTTTTGTGTTTAACACCCCACCTCCTATAGACTGTAAGCTCATTTGAGCAGGGTCCTCTTCAACCTATCCTTCCTGAAGTTTTCTTGTAATTCTCCTATTTCTAGTTAAATCCCCACTCTTATAATATTGTGAAGCGCTACGGAATCTGTTGGCGCTATATAAATGGCAATAATAATAATAATATTGCCCTGAAAATCTGGAATGCCTCTACTTGTGAAGTCGTTCATTCAAAAGTGCATGTTATAGATATTATGCTGGTCCTGAAACTTTTGCAATAAATAGTCTAGCAATAAATAATTCATATTCCATATAATTGGATATTTTCTTGTATTTGCTCCATCATATGGGACTGGAGATATTCTCGTTATATATTTCCACCTTGAGATGAATTGAACATTATCAGATTGTTAGAGAGGATAATTCATCTTTTTCTCCCATTTTTCTGGACTACTATTATTCATAGCAAAACTTGCAATAATAAATTGTCTAGAAAATAATCTGCATATATTTTGTGTCCATGTTTTGTGCAACAGAGCATAACAAAAAAGAAAATTATTCTCTTTGGCGCAAATTTTATCCGTACAGGAATTTTCATAAATGTAGTCCTATATTATCTCTGCAAACATTTCTAATTGTAGATAAGGAGGAAGTTTAAATAGCTACAAGACTCGCTGTAATTACTGTGTGCTATGCTGTGTATCAATTTAAGTTTTGTATACGGCAGTTATGCATAAAGCCATGGAATATTACAATCAAAGAAGTTCATAACACTGTATAATTAATAAGCAGCAACATTAGTAAAGGCTGCAGGAGCATGTTAAACATCGCCTGGATCTGCAGATGTTCTACCGATGTATTATTACTTCTGTAGCTGGTATGGTAATGTAATATGCCTCTCTGCTCTGGTCCTTAAAAAAATGAAGACACTGGCTAAATATCATTAAAGGGACAGGCCTTCTTTTCACGGGAATTTCCTTACACTAAAATGTGTCATTTTCCATTTGATCTGTGTTTCAGAAGTTTTTTTTGTGCTCCCTTAAAAGCCTAAGAAACAGCTCAGGCCGCAATTTAAAACAGAAAATACATTAACTGGCCAGTACTTGAATACTAGCCAGACATTTTGCACAACTTAAAACTGCCAGCAGATCATTTGGGAAAATGACTTTTTTTAATATGTGATTTAATAGAGGGCAAATTTCTTTTTTGGCATTCTGAGAGTGGCTGGACTATATTTTATAATTCCCACTGTTGTTGTTCACCCTGACACCTTCAACATTTCCAGAGAGCAGTTATTTCTAGAAATGAATGTAACTGAATACAGATGTTAAGAACGCCACATTTTAGGTGCAAATAATTCAGAACTTGGCCACCCATACAGAATATTGAAAGCCAGTGAGTGCAAGGCGAAGAGAATAACATTAACATACAATCTTGTGAGTTTATTGGAGACTAGTAATTTTATTACCAATAAACCTTAGTCATAGAGTGAATTATAATGTTTTTCAATGTCATCAAGTAAAAATATTCCAATAGTATTTTCTTAGCTTATTTTCCTTTAGCGGGAAACCATGACTATATTGGATCATTTTATTCATAGAAAACCAGCAGAAGAATGGATAAATCAGTGATAAATATAAATATTTATATTATCACAGGGTGCTGCTCTTTTGCAGGTCTGGAGAGTGGCATAGCAATACAGCAAGGGTGGCATTGTAAAAAACATGTTTTTATTCTGATGATGTAGTGAGATAGTGTATTTATTAAAACATAATCAAAGAACCTGACTCCATGAAAAGGTTTTATAGACAATTTGTATTTTATTTGCATTACGTTCGCTTCGCTGGAATGCTTTTAAAACGTTGTCTCATAACAAACTTTGTGTTGGCACAATAAACAAATTATTGTGGGTAATTGCCCAGGGCTTAATTAATATGATTTGTCTGTTCCAAACAGTACTGAAAATAAAATATGGTCGTGGTTTCGAGTCCCAACCTAATCCTGCGCACGCTTGCCTTCCACCCTTCTTAATGAGCTCATTGAGAAAGTGAAAGGCGAAGCCTGTGAGCTAAGACTGAGTGCGTGCCATGTCTTTTAGCTCAGTGGATGTAGAATAAAACCTCCCTGGCTGTCTGATATGCACTTTTATATTTGGGAGGCAGGAACCCCTTCCTGACTGTCAATTTCTATTGAAATTTGGCACATTTTTATAAACTGTCACACATGTGAGAGACTCCAGACACATAAATCATTTCAGCGAGCTAAAGTGCTTTAAGTGTGTGGAGTGTTCCTTTAATAACAGTTTGATGGCTACCCCTAAACAAGATTAACATTTATGAACTATGCAACTCAATCTGTTCAAAGGAACTAGATTCACAATAAAATAAATAAAAGTGAAATAAATTAGCAAGTAAGATTAGGTAATTAAATGCTGTGTGTGTTCCACAACTGATTTACCTATATTGTTTATTATTCCTTTCATGAATTAGAAGTATCTAGAAAAATGTTTACTGATGCTATTTAAAAATACTGTCTCTGTGGTTGTTAGAATTGTAACATTAACCAGGAAAATAATTTAACTTGTCAGGATTTAGTGTCTGCGATCTGTAATGTTCTTCATTGTTTTCTTATAGGGAGGAAGGGACAGCAGATCTTCTTCACCCATGGCTAGACGCTGAAGTTATCAAGATGTCCTCCAGATTTGATGTAACCGTCTCGATAACCTGAAGTGCCATTAAAAATAATACTACTAGTTTATACATAATAATCACCTTGATAGAGACACAATCTGTCATTTAATGTGTGTGAGTTGTGCGAGCAGTTAGGGTCTACCACGTCCTGTTGGCAGTACCATTTATAAGGTTGACAATGGTGAAGGGAAGCATGGTTGGCTAGCCTGCTGTCTATATTATTAGCAAAAATAATTTAGTGGTATGAGAAGTTAATTACCTGTTTATACAGATTAAACCACTGTGACCTACATGGCTTTGATATGGATTACAACAGTCAGATGGCAAACACAACAGCCCGTCTGGGAAGACGAGATAATAAGCTCATTAAGACATTTTGGAAGCCTCTGATTTTGTTGTTGTAATCTAAAAATGGTAGAAGGTCACATTAAAAAAAAAATTTACAATTTGGATTTTTTTTTCCCTTTAGGTTTGAGTTTTCCAGACTGCTTTTTTCATTTTGGTTTTGATAACATCCATTCTCTCTCACATGCATGTTTTTCTTTCATATTAGTTAGAGACAGCAGCTGAAGTGAGTGTTAAGGTAAACAGGTTCTTCGGTATGTGAATAGTGTGCGGTGTGGTTAAAAGGTCTGGTGCAGAACCACGGAAAAGAGAGCGAGAAGGCAAATATCTAGGCTCAGTGCACTGTTCTAACCAGATTATGGGAGGAGAGAAATGGTGAGAGAGATGACTACTGAAAAGGTCTGCAGCCTGCACATATCCACAGGGGCATACTTGGGTACTCTGCACAGAGATATATCTAACTGCATACTTTTACGTAGAAGATATAGTAAACATGTCACAACACATTATCCACGCTTTATTCACATAAACGGAACATGCACACTCAAAATGAGCAGGTGATCCATAGTGTTCTGAAGAATATAAAATTGTTGTAGTATTGTTGCCGCATAGTAATATACTAAGATGTACTTAATAAGAGTTAGATAATTAACTTTTCATCTTTACTTACATTCAATTAACATCAAAGGCACTGAAAAATCAGGTGCACCAAGTGGCTCTTCTGAATTGCACTGGTTTTATTATTTTTCTTTTAATTAAGTAAAAATGTACATTATAATGATCGTTATTTAATGAGTATGATTTTCCTTTTATTTTTACAGTGAATTTAAACACATTTTATAGGGCTGGGGTGTTTACCCATGTTGCCAATTAAAGAATATGCTGTTAATAAATACCTTTGCTCTTGCTAGATCTGATATATAACATTTGTCTTTAGATTAAAATAAATGGCTACTTATATATTCTGCAAGAAATCATAGAAGCTTGAAGACACACTAATTTCTGCATACAGCTTATTAAACGGTACATGTTAGGATCAACATTGACATCATCATGAGCGTGACCCAGAGATTTTCTATACCTAAGTTTACCCAACAGAAATAGAAAACACTATTTATTTTATGGTGTTATTAAATGTATTGAAATAAAATAATATTATAATTAAATTGATTACTTTGATTTCTGTATGTAACACTGTGAGAATCTTACTTTTAATCGCATGGTCTCCGATCAATGTGTTTGAGAATAATTAAAAATTCATATAAAAATTAATGGGGGGCAGTAAACAAAGCGACGAGCTAATCCTTTAAAACGAGAATTCTATGTCGACAAAGGGAGTTGTTTATTTCAGGCAGAGAATGTGCACAGAGTGAAGTACTTACCGAATCAAAATACAATGGACAATAGTCATGTGTCGTCTCAGGAAAGTAGGGTTTAATTCTTCACATTTATGGCACACCTCACTTACAGACCTATCAAATACAACTTAGTTCATGGACAGTCCTACCTCCTTTGAACTGATTCATACTTGTAGCCATGTTCACCTTTGTATACAGAACAGCCCCTTTTCCTAAGGACTTTACCCACAGGAAGAGGAACATATCTGTGCCAGAGGATTCCATTGTTACCTGGTATGGTGGGTACTTTTAATGAGGGAGCACTAGATGCATTTTAAATAAACAGGAGAAAAGATTACATTATTCAATTCAACTTAAAAATACACATAAAAAAATGGTGTACTAGTCTTAACAATAAATATATTGTTAATAATGCAGTGGCTGCTTGCTGACTCAACAGTTTTTGTCCATGAATAAGGCATTGAGACGATGCAGATGCTGAAGATATGATTGGCAGTGAAATGCAACAGCACTGTAATTATCTTATGGCGGGTACCCCTAATATGGAATGAGTACGAAAATTTAATCTACACAATGACTAAAAGATTTACTCAAAAATTAAAAGAGAAAGCAGGAACTTAGACTCTATATTCACAAAATAATTGTTTTATTATAGGAGAAAAAATACATAAAATGTATTGCATCATAAAACAATGAGAAACATGTACATTCCTCTCACAAATGAAAATGAATGTATTGGCATTGATAATGCCTATGCGTTTCTCTACTCTTTCCACTTGACTATGTCCATCTGCACAACATTACAATGAAATACATCTTCTCAAAACTCAATCGATCCCTAAAATACACCAGTAACCTCTCTATTTTATATGAACTGCACTTTAAAAGCCATTTCTGAGCCACACTGTCCTGTTTGACTTACAGTGCCTATGTAAAAAATAAATTTATGAAAAGCCAAAACTTCTCTGCTGTTCAACATCCATTATTCCTAAGCTAGTGCCACCAGAACTTCAAACAACCATAACAACTATTCACAATTTACTCCAATGCAGCAGATTTCTGTCTCAAATATAACTCCCTTCCTACTACACATTGTAAATTTCCTCCAATTCCCATTAACAAGATGTTGTGATGTAGGCTGTTTGCCGTATCCTTCTAGCCATGGCTTGCTTGAAAAATGCAGAAGATATGAAATGGTTGTTAATTACAACTCCAATAGATTTTGTTTGTGTTCTACATGCAGCAGTAATGTTGCATTTTAAAGCTTAGAGGACAACTGTCACCTCAAAATTATTATTTAATATAATAATCCTTTCATCAACTTTGAAAGGAAATACATTTTATAAAATTCTTTATTTTAACCAGAGCAAACAAAGGCAGTACATAAATCAAATAGAAACGGCATGTAATCTATATCGCATGACAGTACCAAAGGTGGCATTGCAGAGATAGGAAATAACAGACATTGGTGTTAACCAAAGCACGAGTTATCATGAGCGATAATGCTACTATCATCTCCTGATGCCATGCTTCATCTTGAACAGAGAACAGAGGTCAGGACAAGTCATATACCAGACAAACCGAATGTACAAGAACAAGCTATTGGGCTAACAAGAACTACAACAGGGCATCAATGAGTGGGACAGGGCTTGTTTCCTATTGGAATATGTCATTTGCGCCCGATTTGGGTCAGTGACGTTAAGACCCGAATTTTGTTGTGAATTCGGGCATGAATAAAGAGATTCTTTTTGAGAGCATGCAGAATCCGGGAGATTGCTGGAGGAACAAGGTAAAACCAGAGCAACCCTGACAGTACCCCCCTTGAGGATTTCCCGCAGAAAGCTTGTAGGGAAACCACCATGAAATGCACGTACCAAACAAGGGGTATGTAAATCAAAGGGAAAAAAAAAGAATGCTCCTCCGGATCATATCCCTTCCTATAAGTCAGATATTGCAAAACACCCTGATAAATCCTTCAAATTAAACATCAAACATAACATTTGCATCCACAGATACAGGATCAGGTTTATGCATAGGCCAAGTAAACCGACTGCATATCAAAGACTTCAGGAGGGATGTATGAAGTGTACTCGGTATACAAAGAGACGGTGGCAACTCCAGAGTATATTTTACAGGGTTGATGTGCCTAAGAACTTATACGTTCCAATGTATATAAGTGTAAATTTCATGAAAGGGCTCGGAGACATATATTCTTGGTAGACAATCAAACCCTTTCCACTGGCAGATAACATGGAGCATTTCTACAAAGGCTATGAACATATTCCTTCTGGAACATGGCCATTTTATTAAAGGAGCACTATAGGGTTATTAGGTCCCTCCATCCTTATTCCAGCGGCGGGCTCCCACGGCATTGGTGACCTCTCCTCCCCTGCCGATGTCAGCTCCTGAGTGGAGCTGAATGCATATGCGCGGCCAGAGCCACGCGCGCATTCAAGCCGCCCATAGGAAAGCATTACTCTGTGTGAGTTCAATGCGATTTTCACAGTGAGAATCACGGAAGCAGCCTCTAGTGGCTGTCAGGGAGACAGCCACTAGAGGCTGGATTAACCTTGCAGTGTAAACATAGCATTTTCTCTGAAACTGCTATGTTTTCAGCTGCAGGGTTAAAACTAGGGGGACCTGGCACCCAGACCACTTCATTGAGCTGAAGTGGTCAGGATGCCTATACTGGTCCTTTAAGGGTTTTCTGTACCTGCTAGCACCTACTCCGCAGATTAGCATGGTTCGTGCCCAAAGCAGGAATTGCATTGTCAGAGCACAACCAGGACGGACACTAGGTTAAACACCATAGGCTACAAGGAAAGGATTTAGTCAAGTAGAAGCATGCTGAGAATAATTTCTAGAAAATTCGGCCCAGAGAAGCAAGCTAGTCTAATTATCCTGATGCGTAGAGGAAAAACAGCACAACTTTTGTTCCAGAGGTTAGGCATGCCTTCTCAGCAGATCTGTCGGTCTGAGACAGAAGTTCAGCTGTAGGTTGTTTTTCATGGAGAACCTCTCTACCACAATAAATATAACTGTGTTGCCTTCAGAAGAGGGTAATTCAACAATGAAGTCATTAGACAAATGTGTCTAATGGTTTTGTGGGTATAGGCAATGGTTAGAGCATACCAGCTGGTCTTTATGTAGATGACTTAGACTGTGTACAAGTGACACATGATTAAAAACATTCTGCAATGTCTTTTTTTTACAGATAGCCACTAAATAGTATTACATAAAGAACGATACATTTTGCTTATGCCTGGGTGACTGGCTGTTTTAGACAATAGTCTATTGTTTTCAATGACAAATAATTTTTCAGAAGGTACTTGGTCTTGATATGTTTTAATTCTGTCAAGCTTGTAAGGATAATTATGGGGCAAAATATTATATCTAAAAAAAAAATCTAAAAAAATCTAAACATGCTATGGAGATTATATGAAGATTAACCCCTTAAGGACACATGACGGAAATATTCCATCATGATTCCCTTTTATTCCAGAAGTTTTGTCCTTAAGGGGTTAATATAATGATTGTACTTGCATTTAAGATATACTATCAAATGTATACCCTAACTTAATTAGTCAGACTAACCAGTATAAAAACCCCTCTACTGTTTGAGTAGCACATACTAGATTGTTTACAACTTGGCAGAATTAAAAAACTCTATTTGTTGTCTGTCTTAGTTAAAGTGGTCCAAGTTGTCCACCATTGTCTAATAAGGCATTTGGGTTTCAATGAATAACTTGCTATTTCAGCTATTTTCAATGTCATCATAGCTTTAATAAATATTAAATAAGATTTTCTATATTCTTTCTATCTGTTTTCTGGGAATTTATAATACATTCATCTTCATTTTAGTGTTTGCATTTGTTAGAACTAATCGGTGAATGTTGACGTAGATTGGGTGACAAACTAGTGGCATTGACAGCTTACATCAGGAAATGGGTGAACCAGTTACAGTTTCTAAGTAATGTTTATTTTTATTTTTTTCAACTTGCTGCCTTGACGGATTTCCTTTACTCTCAATATCTTTTTGTAGCCTTGGGAAATAAGAGAGAAATGTGAACACCAACAGGGATTATTTATGTTTTTGATCTCCTGACAATAATTTTCTCCGCTTAAATTGTGTGATCGCTGTTGCCATGAGATGACTGGATGTCACACATCTTACATTTTCCTTTAGGTTGTTATTTCTTTCTGTAGAATTACAAAGGGTTTCTATCTTATTATTTCTTATATTAAACATCCAGTTTATCTTAAATTTGAGGTTAACATATTAGGGAATGTTTTATTATGAATAAATGTGTAACAACAGTAAAGCTAATTTTTTTAAATATAATTTTTATTAGGACTATTTTATAAACATGGAATTTTGTCTGGATGGCTTTCTTTTTTTATTTTTATAAAAATGACCAGATTCTGACTAGCTTGTCATTTCGGATACAGTGGAACCTTGGAACTCGAACATTCCCATTCTCAAACAATTCGGAAGTCGAACTAAAATTTTGCATAAAAAATGTCTTGGTATGCGAATGATCCTCGGTACCCGAACACATCACGCGGTATTCACAGAGGGACACAAGTGTGGGGAGGCATGGGATACAAGTGTGAGATGAGGAAATATGGGCAGATGGACTATGTAAAAGAATAGAGTGGAATATAGGGAGAGGAAAATTAGAGGGCAGAGGGACACAAAAAATAGTGAAGGTGTGCAAGAAGAAAGAGGAAAATATGAGGAGAAGGATACCAGGGGACAAAGGGACACGAGTAAGGGAAGAGGGACTATGGACATAAGGATACAAGCAGAGGAAAGAGGGG